GGGAGTGAAGCTTCATGAAATATGGAGATTAAGGAAGTTAGAGTACAAGTTCTTATAACTAGTACATCTTCTTCAAGAGTTGTTGTTTCACATATTGTACAACCACATAACAATCAAGAAGAACAACAAATTATTGATCTCAAGATTAATAATGAGTCAATAATAGAACAATCACAAGAAATAGTATTAAGAAGATCTCACAAAGAAAGAAAGTTTATTATTTCGAATGATTATGTAATTTATTTACAAGAGTAAAAAAAATGACTTAAGTATTAATAATGAATCAATTTTATTTTCAAAAGTCATTAATGGGGATAATTCTGACAAATGGTTAGATGCTATAAAATATGAGTTTAAATCAATGGTACATAATGGTGTATGAGATCTTGTTGAATTGTCAGAAGGATGCAAAAGTGTTGAGTGTAAATAGGTCTTTAAGACTAAGTGTGACTCTCAAGGCAATATTGAACGTTACAAGGTCTGACTTGTTACCAAAGGTTTTACTCAGAAAGATAACATTTATTATAAGAAAACATCTTTGCCTGATTTTAAGAAGATTATTTTAGAATTATCATGGTATTAGTAGCTCATTATGATTTTGAGTTGCATCAAATGGATGTTAAAATTGTCTTTCTGAATAAAGATTTAGAGAAGGATGTTTATATGGACCAATCGATGGGATTCATTAAAGAATGAATGAAACACATGGTGTGTAAACTTAAGATATCAATATATGAACTTAAACAAGCTTCTCGACACTGATATCTTAAACTCAATGATACTATTCTGTCCTTTGGATTTAAGGAAACATTTTTGATTGGTGTATATATCTAAAGATCAGTGAGAACAAGTTTATTATAATACATGTTGTATGTTGATGATATCATGTTTGTGACTAATGATCTTGGTCTATTAAGTGAGACTAAGAAATTTTTCTCTAATAACTTTGAAATGAAATATATAGGTGAGACATACTATGTGATAAGAATAAAAATATTATGTGATAGATCACAAAGACGGTTAAGTTTGTCTTAGAAAACATATATTAATAAGGTTTTAAGGAGTCTCAGAATGGATAAATGTTCAACATCTCTCATTCCAATACAAAAAGGAGACAAATTTAGTCTCATGCAATGTCCAAAGAATGACTTAGAATGGAAACAGATGGAAAATATCCTTTATACATTTGTTGTTGCGAGTTTGATGTATGCTCAAACATGTAGGAGACCAGATATTAGCTTTGTAGTTGATAGGTAGATAGCAGAGTAATCCTGGATTGGATCATTGGAAAGCTGCAAAAAAAGTATTAAGATACTTACAAGAAACAAATAATCACATGCTTACTTATAGAAAATCTGATCTCCTTGAGGTGATTGGATATACAGATTCAGATTTTTTTGGTTGTATGGATACACGAAAGTCTATATTTAGTTATGTGTATCTTTTAGCCTGAGGAGCGATTTCATGAAAAAGTGCGAAACAGTTCATCATTGTTGCATCCAACCATGGAAGCTAATTTGTGACACGCTTTGAGACCACACTTCAGACTAATTGGTTTCGGAATTTTATTTTAGGACTTGGAATAGTCGATAGTATTATCAAGCCACTGAAGATTTATTGTGATAATTCCACAGTAATCTTCTTTTCTAAGAACGACAAGTATTCCAAATGTGATAAGTATATAAAATTAAAATATTTTATTGTTAAAGAAAAAGTTTAGAAATGAAAAGTGTCAATAGAACATATTAGTAATGATATTATGATTGTTGATCTTTTAATAAAAATATTAACATCCAAATTGTTTGTTGGTCATATAGTAAATATGTGTATTATGTTTACTAATGAATATTGAATGATAACGTTATTATTAATTATTAATGTTTATAGTGGGTGTTAGTAATCCTAATTAAGTCCTATCAATTGGGAGCATATGTTTACAACTGAGAGCCACAGAACTTAAAATTTTAATCAGTGGTCCCTCCCTTAAGGCTGTCTCAAGTACTTTGGTACAACAACCATCAAACAAGATACCAAGAGTTCTGCCACTGCTTAACACCAATATGGAAATGTGGTCCATGAAGCTCAAAACTAACAAATGTCAGACATTACGTTACGTTACAACTGCTAAAATCCTGTGCTTCTGTAATGACTCCAAAATGTAATTTGTTCCTTTCTCCCTCCATATGTCCTTCAATTAGTTCATTCTAAAGTGGTAGTTCAATTTATTGGAGGGTTTTGAGAATTTTTTTTTTTTCATACATACATGCATGTTCTATTGTCAATAATGTGAATAACAAAATAATGCTGCTATTTTTGTCAGGCAGTATAGTATTACAGTATACTTTTGTAGGAAGAATGATAATAATAATAATAACAACAAGGTCTTATCTAATCATCTACATGATTTTTACGATTTGATTTGTCTCAGTTGAAAAGTTTCAAGAATATTATTTATCATAACATATCTATTGAAAACTCCATCCAAAATACATTTTGGCATCATTTTTGTCTTTTTCATTACCAGTGGTCTGGATAATAAGACTGTGATGGCAATAACTTTAGGGAATTTTTATTCACTGTTAGTATTTGAACTATATATATACGCTACTCTAGTATTATGTTTCTGCGTTCAATAACTCTTCTGCAAAAAGAGAACATAGGCAGAAGCAGATGTTGTCTTCTCTTGATTTGCTGATGGGTGGAACATGGCTAAGGAAAAGATGAATAGCACTTTTACATGGACATATGCTCTATAATGAGCAACAGATGATAGCATAAAAAAACATGTACGTAAGATTTGTCATTTCCATAAGCAATATAACTGACAGATAAATATTATTATCTGCAGGGAAATCAACGTATGTCTCTAGCTTGTTCTTTATGAAGTGACTATATTGGAACCTCTTTTGATGAATGACTAAACTCTCCGGAAGTATCGAACAAACTAACTTCTTACTAAGCTTGACAACACCTAACATTACAAAAAGGTGTACCTTAGAAAATAGTAACAATGCTTCACACAATACATAATGCTAATTACAGTATAAACTTGATAATAACAACCATTGTTGAACTGGAAGGCTTGCGGCTTCATAAAAAATAACAGACATGTTCTAAGTGTAAGACTCTAATATATAGAACCAATGAGAAAAGAACATAAATATAGTCTTATGAAATAATTACACAACAACATTTTCTTACAGAAAGTGCAGTTTATGAAAAGTATTTGCTGATGTATTGTTAATGCTACACGCTGTATCCAATTCTAACCTGAGAAAAAACTAGTCTAGTTACCGTGGCATTGATGACAAACTCCGTTGATGCACGTTGACTACTAACATACACAAATTATTTGCATCTAAAATTTAAATGCTTTACAATAGGGAAGTAAAAATATTTGAATGAATGATAAGTATGTTTATAATTTTCCACCTACCTTAAATGTTTTTTAATGTACAATTTAAATGGCATTTTTAAAATATACAAAACAAAGAGTTTGGAAACTCAATATTCATATATTTAAAATAATTTATTTATTATAAAAATAATATTTAAAAAACTATCTCTGTGTATAGAATAACTCAGTAAATGTTATATTGAAAGTATATAATAGAGATTTCTTATTGAAATACTTGTTAATTGTTTGAAACCATTTTTAATTGAAAGAATTTTATATAACATAATAAGTTGTTTAAAATTTTGTTTGTAAATATTTCATGAAGTAATTTATAAAAATAAATAAATTAAAATAAACGAGAAAAAAATTAAAATAAAAATCATTTTTTTTAATTTATTAAATAAATTAATAAAATAAAATCAATAATAAATTACTTAAAAATGATGTGATATCATCATACTTCATTGTTTTATATTTTTTAAGATAAAAAAACAAATCATATAAATTATTCTATTGGATGTCTTAAGATTAAATTACACAATAACATAAAACTCATAAATAAAGTTACACTTTTTTAAATTGAAAATATTTCTAGATGAAGTTAATTTTTCAAATAATCAGGAGTCGTGCTAGGATTATAAGGTAAATGGTAAAAAAACTACCATGATTCGTCACTCAAGAATGTATACAAGTTTACTCGAAAATATTTAAATAAGAATTTAACTATAAGTTAAATTTTTTTTATAACTAAAATAATAGCTTATAATAATTTATCAGTTAATTATAAAGTTTGGGTACCTTTTATTAGTCAAACAGAGATATCTTCTAATAAATTTATTAGCCCAGAAAGAGAGGGTTGGAACTTGAAAAAAATATTTGACAACCTAAATTCATCTCTAAATAATTCTCTTTTAATATTATAATTATAGTTTTATTTTATTTTTATTTTTATTAAATCATTCTATATATTATTATATTTTTAATATTATAATAATAGTTTTACTTTATTTTTATTTTTATTAAATTATTCTATATATTATTATATTAATAAAAATGAATTGTTTAAAGGAGGTATGTTGTGCTTATCAAAACTTAGTGGGTTATGCTTATCATATACCGCATTGATTATATTACTCATTTGTTTTCTTCTAAACAACTTTCCCATTTTTCTCCACATAACTGCCAATTAAACTGGTTTTGTTATCCATCAACGTGGCAATATGCAATCAAGGGTCAAAATCTATTTCTACATGATTTCCCATGCAGCTTGAATGCCAGATAATTTTGCAAACTCCTTTTAATTCAATCATCCAATAATTTTTAAGAGAATATTTAATAAGGCAAATATGTTCAGGTTATCTTATTCTGCAACACTATATCTTGTTTTATTTTCGTCCCATTAAAACAAGTATACACGGCACATAAGTTCTTTAAATTAAACTTTTTATTTTCTACAAAATGCAGATGCATATAAGTAAAAAATGATTTTACTGATATAGGAGAGGAGGAGAACACGGTTGTAAAAGGGAGAAGAAAAACAAATAAGTACACAGACCAAAAAAATAACAAATATGGACGAATAGAACCAACAAATCTATCAAGTTCAAATGATGTTCCCCTTCCATACCCAACCAGTACCAAGAAATGCAAAGTGCAATAACAGTCTTGAAATCGCAAAGAAGCTCCTAAGAACCACGATCTGATGGGCTTGTAAAAGTTCCCCGATCCAGGCCCACGAGTGGTTTGAGGCAACGTCTTCAGCCGTATGCTCCTTGCCGTAGCTCCATTGCATCCACCCTAACGCTGCAGACATACCTTCTTCTTCTCCGATGTTCTGATCATGCAGGGCCAAGGTATGCACAAGAGGCTGGTGAAGAAATTGGAAGAAAAAGCTTAGGGGTAAGTTGAACTAAATTGATATTGAAAATTATAAAAATATGAATAGCTCAATTTTTTCTCCCTCGAAACAAATTTATACATTAATTACTTATTTATATGTAACATCACATAAGAACTATCGTTATGAGACACTTAAATTGTTTGAAAAATAAAAATAAAAATAAATTTCTTAAATAATACTCAAGATAAATTTCTTAAATTCACGGGTCATTGAGCATTTAGAGTCAAATTTGTATCCTGTTGTATGCAGTTTGGATTATAGAGAACATGCAATTTTTTATTTTTTTTTAGTAAATCACTATTTTAGTCCTAAAAGTGTATAACCACCACACTAGTCCTAAAACTGAAAATTTTCTAAATAACTTATCCATCACATTACTTTAAAATTAAAAAAAGGAAAAGAAAAAAGACTTAAATTATAAGTAACCAAAATGACATTAAATAGTTAAATGTAGATACTTTAATTAAACAACTAAAAGTTTCAGGCTTGTTTAAAATCATCCTCGTTTCAAAAATCAATGAGTCAACATGATACACTTTTACTCGTTTGTTATCTGTTTGGTTGTTTAAATGTTGACATTTTTAACCCTTTGGTCGGATGGAATCACAAACATCGAAGACCAACAGCAGAAGCATAAGGTTTGGTGCTTTGCTATGCTTCTTCCGTGGTTGATATTGATGTTTGCAACAAGTTATCCGAGTAATGCTATCTCTCCGTATGCAGTTGAATTAAAGGAAATACTGAATTACATAGTTTTATGTTATTGATTTTCATAAACACAAACAACAAATATCCTAGTGGTTCTACATCTAAATGCAAAACCAACGTAAAAGTGTGCACCTCCAATGTTGATCTATATAAATAACAGTTAATTTCCAGTAACATGGGTAACAAAAAGATGGTAAGACAACAAAGCATTAGATTATGTCAATATAAGCAATTTCACCTGCAGTAGAAACCCAAAATGAGGGATAAACCTTTGGGTCACAACTCAATTGTAGTAGCGTGAACCAGTGTCATAGACACGACCACCAGGATATGGACCTCTAGGTTCAAATCCTTGATCTCTACCACCCCCAAGAAATCGAGCTCTCTCTCTGAAAGGATCAAAGTGATCGGTAGAATAACCTCGTTGCACTTCTCCACCTACACCTGAAGCATTCGTATTGTTGAAACCATGAGGGTCTCGGGGTGCCATGCCACTGCTGGGGTAAGGATCCCTTATGATTTGCTGGTACTGCTGTTGCCTAGCATGTGATTCCCTTTGAAGAAATTCAGCTCTGCGGCTGCTATGCTGAGCTCGGAGTGCTGCCAGTTTTTCTTCATACTGAGCATTGATTGCATTTATTTTCTGAAAATAAACATTTAGTTTTAGAGAATATATATATATATATATATATATATATATATATATATATAGAAAATATACAGAATTGAACAGGAATAAGATTATCCTCATAACACCCAGTGTGCTGCTAATATCCAGCTTAAAAACATAGTGCAAAATACAAGGAAAGATGCAGGTTGCAGAACTAGACCCAGTGCCCACAATTAGCTGACAGAAGAACCTAACTCAAGAATTAAAAAACCACTCTTGCAAAGGTGATTTTGTACATCCATTTAATATTCAGGAAGTATTCTAAAAATGGGTCATATAACTAAGATCTGAGAACACACTGGGTTAGTTCATAGTTTAAAGGATGCAAAAAAGTACACAAACTGGTGATATGTAGTTTTGCATTACAAACTAAGATGCAAAAAGAGCCGTATATAACTGCAGTTCTGCATTTACATAATCACTTCAAGTCTATCAAATGTCTTGGAAAAAGCCTAAGTATACAAGTTACAATAAAACTATCCATTACAAACAATTTTTTCTTTCCAGAAATGCACTTAGCAACCCATTGACAAGCTTGCAATCCTAGGATGCAGTTCGATCCTTGCAAATCGTAATTCTACAAGAGGATCTGTATCTGATACCTTAATGATTTCTAACTTTCTGTTAACAGCTATAAAAAAGAGCGACCATCTTAAATTTTATGGACTTTATTGACTTTTCCAACAAAACAAGATTGTCCAAACCTCAACTAGGTAAACACGCATGGAAATCATACTTAAGATTGGTCATCAAATGAGAGCTTGGCATGTTTTCAAAATAAATGTTAGGAATAAGTTTCATAAGCTAGACGTCTGGAAGACTTAATCGAAAAATATCTATTGAATTTATTATAATGATCATTAATTTATAAAATCTAAATACCCATGAAGCAATCTAGATTCAAGGTGGTCCAATTTTCAGTTAGCTGATGCCCAATAGGTAAGTCAGACCCAGTGAGGTCAGCAAAACTGGACCCAGTCCATCAAGGGAGTTGAATGATTATGGGTTCATCTATTAAGAAAAAGAAAGAAAAAAAAAAAAAAAAAAAAGTTGCAAAAAGTGTAGAGGATTTAGGGTATCTCAAGAACATAGTAACGAATTAATAATGTTTGTTTTTATGTTTAACACAAACCTCTCTGTGCCTGGCATATTCTGCATCCTCAGCATCATTCTGTTCTTTGGTGAGTTTAATAATGTCATCACGGAAATTCTGCTCAAGACCTTCAAAAGTTTGTGATAAATGATTTCCTTCATATCCAACATCCATATCTCCTTCGTGGGCCTGAGATCTGGAATCATTGTTGTTTCGGTTCTGCCCTTGAAAATAGGACTTTGAAGCATCAACAACCCCTTGACCTACACTAGAACATGAAATGGTTCCCCTATGTTTAGGAGTTTGAAAACTATTTTCATGATATAATGTTTTAACAATTCAAAAGTAAAATAGATTCTGAAAACGTGCCATGTTTGCTGAACTAGAATACCATACAAGCAGACATCAAGAATTAAATTCATCTCCTATACATAGCTACTTTTAAGGGTGTTCCTTGAAAAATAAGCAAATTTTGCAGAAAGGATGTCAGGAATGCGAATAACAATACCCATTTAGCAACAAATTGGAAAGGACTTTATTTAAAAGGATTATGCTGCCCATTATTGAGTCACACGAGTTGTTAATCTGTTTTCTACAGGACAGCAAAGGTATTGGGCTATTATCTCACTTATAATTTAGAAACAAAAATCTCCATACAGCAACACAGAAAAAAGGTCAAGAACTACAGCCTACAGGGAATTCAAGTGTTAGATCATTTAGTACAGAAGGTATAATGCACAAAGTTACAAAAATGTAGTTATTTATGTATATTCACTTTTAGTCCTTAAAGTCACAAAAATCATGTGCTTTTAGTCCCTCACAAGAAAGTAAAACCACATTGTTTTTTTTATAATGTAGGGACCAAAACCAAATATACCTTTCATAGGAATTAAAACCAAAAATAATATCATACTTTTAAGGTATATTTAAGCCAAAATATTTCAGATAACTGTAACTATACCATATATTGTCTCTTCATTTCCATGTCTTCTTTATACTCTCATATTATCTCTTCATTTCCTTATCTTCTTTGCACTCTCTCTAATATTCATAGCTTTCACTTTCTTGGTACAAAATTCAGCACAAAAGTGCAGCATTAGTTATTCTGTCTTGATGGCATTTATCAGTTGGTTTAGCTCAGGCAACAACATAAAAAGCAGCAGATATGTGTCATACATACACACTATGCTCCTTTAAGTCAACATCATAGATCCTACTTTTTCTATAGTGAAAAATCAACCATTCAGAACAGGACATTTTTGTCAATTTCATGAACATAAATTTCGCAAAAATCAAAATATACATAACTCTAACAAATCATGAAAACCTGTAAAAACAATATCCAGTTACAACTTCAAGACATATGTATCCATCAGATAACATATTTCAAAAATATGATTGTTTCTGTAAATTCAGATGCAGCGCAAAGCTAGGTTAACAGAAGGATAAGCAAGAGTGAAGAGGCAACCAAAAACACTTGCCTTCATTAAACATTCGAGATGTCATTGAATTAGACATCTTCGATTCGTCCATTTCCCATCTCCACTGACCCTCCGGCTTGGAATTCGCATATGGATTCTCTCTCTCTGGAGTAAAGGCCTCCAACCGTCCTTCAAAATTACCAGACTTGGCCTCCCCCCTTTGACCGGCCATATGATGCATCTGGCCACCAACACAAGTGTTGGGAGATGGATCCCCATAGTGCCCCTGCCGTCGCATTGTCACAAACAACTCCTATGTGAACACAACCTCTGAGACATCAAAGCCACAAAAACCCAAAAACAATCACTTAACCACATAACCCACACTACAATCGTAGGTAATCATGCATGTTCCCATACGTTGCTCTCACATGAAACAGATATTTCAAAGCAAATACAAAATTTGGCAACTAAATCCCAAATAGAACCCGTACGTCATACGCGTCGGTATCATAAAATATGTTATAGAATCCTAGGGTTAGATAAATCAAACTAAGAAGTGAAGCAAATTAAAGATAGTAGACTATTGCAACTGTATAGAACGTGCAAGAAAACGGGAAAAAAAATAAAATAAAAGATAAAATATTTCAACAGAGCTCTATAACGTACCGAATCAACAAGCAGTTTCGAATATCGAACTAGCGAAACGAAACGAGAAAGAATGATGTGTACTTTAATTATCGATTGAAAGGAAAGACATTTGCAGGTGATGAGGATGACGAAGTGAGAGTAAAATGAAAATCTGAAAACCCTAATTCAAGATGGAGAAAGAATCCGATATTCTACAAGCATTGCATCACTGCTTGCAAAATACACATGGAAAAATAAAACAAAAAGAGTTTAGCAATAATTAAAATATAAAGATGTAGTTGAATTTTTATTTCTTAAAAATGATGAAATTAGTTTAATCAATAAAACATTATTTTAATGATAATTTGTTCAGCTAATTCGGTTGTTTTGTTATTAAAAATAAGATTATAGAACTTTTTATTGTACATTGATGTGTGTTAATTTTAATTTATTCTATTTCGTCTTTTTTATAATTATTTAAGTATGATAATATTTGCTATCAAAATTTACAAAACAATAATAATAAATTTAAATGTTCAAAATGATTATCAAGGTGTTAACCTGCTAACATATTTCATGCTTAAAGAATATTTTATAAATGAAACAATAGCAGAACAATGATTTAATATAAACAAGAGAGAAAAATTAAATAAAAAATAAAAAAAAACAGTGTTTGTACTAAATTTTCAAAATTTAAGTAACACAACAAAGAAGACAATGAAATATTATTTTATTTCAATACTAGATGGAGTGTAAAGCATACAAAAACGAGAAAAATGGATATATTATTGCAATAATACAAAGTATTCCCTTTATTGCTTTTATGTTATAGATTGTCAAAAGAAGATGTAGTATTTCGGTACAAATATTTATTGGATAATTTAGTATCGACTAAAATCATTTAAAAATAAATAAATACTTTTATTAAAGAACAATTGCTAGTTTCGTTAATATAAATACTTGATGTAGAAAAAAATATAACTATTATCACTTTTAAAATTCAAATAAATAAGGTGGATAATTATTGCAAAAAACTATACTATATTTTCTCAATGTGTATTTAGTTTTATATGTCAACCCATAATTTACTTTTAAATTAAAATTATTATAAATCTCTCTCTCCTATATATATATATATATATATATATATATATATATATATTAAGCGTGTATCTAAAACTCCATTTACTCATATGTAATCTTATCTTTGAATAATTTAAAGGAGCTAAACCCATAATAATATTAATCTTGGAGGCAAAAAGCTTTTAGGTTGATGGCTCCCCAAATGATTTTTTTTAAATAAAATTATAATTTAATTTTATATTTAATATATATATATATATATATATATATATATATATATATATAATATATATATATAATATATATAGAACTCTAGTATGAGATGAAGTAAAACAATTTGATGAAGTCAAATTTTTTATCATATTCTAGTTTTATATTAGATCAACCAATTAACGAGTTAATTTTAACCTTATTAAATTTTAAAAAATATATTGACATATATATAAAAAATAAATTAATTAAAAACAAAAATCTTTTTAAAAGTTTTAAATTTTATTAATGAATTTAATTTTTGTTTAAGATATAATCATTTAATATATAAATTATAAGAGAATGTATCAATTCAATCTTAAAATAAGAATTAAAAATTTATTTTTTATTATTATTATTTATTTTTAACAATTTATTAATTTAAAATATTAATTAATCTTAATCATTAAATATTGAAATAAATAATTATTAAAGATTTATTTAAATATTTATTATTAGAATAAGTGATCAAATTTATTTATAATACATATATCTTTTTAATAAAAATAACATTATTTTTATTTTATTTAAAAAATAATTTTTATTTTATAAAATAGTTCGATCAATAAGCCTAATAATTAGTCTGACCTAAACTTATATAAGTCATAACCTAAATAAATCATAATACTAAATAAGTCTAATTCAATTTAGATTAGAATTTTTTTATTTAGAATTTTTTATCCTAACCTAACCTACTTTTTATATTTTTAAAGTTGATCTATTAAACTAAGTCTATTTTAACATCTCTAATATGTATTTATATTTTTATTATGTTTTATTTTAATTTATTAAAATTTAATGTATATATTAATTTTAAAATAAAAATATTTATTTATAAAATTATGAATTATTAAAGATGAATAATTGAGACAAAATTAAAAAAAATATATATATATATATATATATATATATATTTTATTTTTTTTTTCATTCCACCAATATGCCTATTTCTTCTTTCTTTTTCTATGCCTTTCAAGGATAACAAACGCACTGTAAGAGATAATATCTCCTTTTTATAAAATTGAATTAAATCTAAACTCCAAGCCTAAACCAGCATTAGAGGCTAAATCCTTATTCATGAGAGGATTATTCACATCTATTCTCTCTCCTTCAATTCCCATTAGTTTTTAACCGTCAAATATTTTCCTAATTCCTATTCAGTTTGTATGGATTGCATTTTGCAAATAATACGTATAAGTTCACAGATAAAATTCTCAGTTATGGACCTTATATATAGCATCACAAGTCCAATGTCATTGATATGAATTGACAAGGTAGAATTTTGGCCTTACATTATTCTGCCCATTGAAAGGTGATATACAGTACACATTACAATGAAAACACTTGACAATAAAGCAGAGAAGTTCCCCAGATCAATCATGCAAAGGACACCTCACATATCAGACACAAGAGATCCAAGAACGATCTTAAAGTTAAACTTGATGCAAGTCAACAACTCATCCCGATCATTCTTCAGTGTCATCTTCAGAGAGTAAGGTCCCTGGAAAAATGAACAGACAGGGAAATGAAGTCAGTAATGTAAAGTTTGACCAAAACAAAAGTTTTACCTCAACAGAAGTTTGCTGTCGGAGACAAGGATTATTAAACCAAGAAAAAGAGTTAGTGAAAATTTTACAACGCGATTCCGGGCCTTAAGACTCAACCAAAACTTGAGTATAATACCACATTATCCATATGTATTACCCTTAGCGTTCAGATCAAGCATCAAATGAAACAAGAATTGTCATTTGGGGGAGAGGGGTACTCAAAATTCACATTCAGCTGTGGTTTTCAAATATTTAGATATAGTGACACATCATGTGGATTGCACATTTCATCCCAAGTCCCTAACACGAGATGGGTATTGTTATGTTGAAAGAAACCACAACAGTTGCCATTTAGGAAAAGTAAGGCTTTTTTACCAAACAGGTCAACAAAATTGTGATTTTACTAAAGGGGTCCAAAATTAAAAATTTTACCCAAATAGACTAAATTGTGATAGGTAAAGCGATTTTGACATGAAGAAATAGTACTTAGAAATCCAAGTTTGACAATCAACACTAAAATCGTGTTATGTAGCACGATTTTATTTGTTTTTTTTTTTAATCATCCTTCTATCGAAATGAAGGACATAATTATACAAATTATTTATTTCGATATTATCTATTTCAATGGTAAATTTATATATTTTTAAATAATATAATATTTTAATATAAATAAACTAAATTAAATTTATCCACTCATATATTTTTAAATAATCGTCTGGATGGGTGAAGATTGCACGTAGAAATCTAAGATTTGATTCCTAAATTTAAAAAGATTAGAAAGGTTTGCATGTGAATAAGACCAACAATTGAGTCAAATCTGACTCTACAGGCTATCATATAAAATAAATAAATGAATAAATATACAAATTCAACGCATGAAGCATATATTTTTCTTGCCTATTAAAGTTCAAATGCCTTTGAAAGTCACGCTTCTAGACTAGCTTCAAAATATTTCATAAATCCAAAAAAGATTAAGAACCTTAAAAGGAGCTCTAGATAATACCCATTGACATAATAAGGTTATTCAAGTGCAACCAAGGTAAATTGTATAGGCAACAGAGAAAACAGATCACCACCAAGCCCTACTGCATGAGGTGACTAGCTACATAGATCAATTGTCATCATGGGATTCTATCAAAAAGACAAAGGCCGAATTTTCAGTAAAACCCTTTAAAGCAAAAAAATTTCTAATGGTTTGTTCTGAAGCTTTATTTAACACTCCTTTATCACTTTCGATTGAATTATCTTCCACTTGATCAACATTTCTTGCTAAATCTTATATTGTTCTTCTCTTATGTCCAAACATAATCTTCTCAATAGGAGCCACTTCAACTTTCTCCCAAATACATTTGTTCCTAATTTCATCTTTTCTCATGTCTAACCATCTCATCCCTGCTACACTTTCTTATCAATGCTAATATTAGCTACCATAGAGCATTGACCATCTATGTATGGAAGAGTATGTTTGACAGGCATTTGGTATAATGGATTATGCTTTAAACATTTTTAGCCAACACAGATTGCTGATTTAAACAAGCAAAATGACTATTGATTCAAATCCAATCTGTTATTGGTCTGTTAAGTCAGTTAGATATCTTCGTAATAGCATAAAAACTCACAATTAAAATAAAAAAAATGTAAAAAAGAAACAAAACCAACAACTAATTTCGCTAATGAAAAAAAAATTATAATACCTCTCTTTAAATATCTAAAGAAAAAACAATAAACCCTCTCTAGGAAATAAAATAATACAACTACTATGCATTAAAGCAATAGAAAACAAAAAGTTAGTTTTGGAATGTTTTACAAAATACGCACCGTACTCCTTTCCTAAAAAGAAAAAATAAACACCAAAATATAATTATCCTGATATAGAACTTCTCTTTTTACAAACTTAATCTCTATGACCATCATGAATAACAATAGAATTTCAATGATCACTTAGTTGCATGTTCACTGGTGGCAACATGACTTGTGACTTTACATTTAGGTGATACATGCTGTCACAGATAGAGAATAAGACAACTTTTAAAAGTATATTTAGGTAAAGCAAATTTGGTTATGCGAAAACAAGGTTAGTTTGGATCTTCTACAATAAACCTACTCTTCAAAAGGAAAGTTTCATGAGTAAAATAACTACATGTGATGATGTCCTGGAAGTACACCGCAGGACATTTCACATTCTAATGGGATTAAATTAATTACTCTTGATTATAACAAACTTTACATTCCAATAAATTTCAAGTTACAAGACTAAAAAAGATGGATCAATACACACCAAGTGGAAATTTGTAAATGTACAATAATATGAAAATTAGCACCAGAATCAAAGAAAACCAGACAGTTTATTTAATAAAATGAAACTAACCGGTGGAGTGATTGCAGGCAATGTTTGAGTGTGTGAAATCACAAAATTGCCATTAGCAACAGGGCATTTTACTTCTTTACAAAGATCAATGCTTTCTGTATGGACAGGCACCCCAACGTATGAAACTCCAATTACCACCTCTCCACCATAAATAGATTTACCTGCATGAAGGATAGACAAGTGATACATTAAGATAAGGAACAAATGAAGTGAACCAAAAATATAAATGATAGCTTATATAAGTCCACTGAATCATTTGGAAACAACAGGCGTCTGGACAAAATATTGTGCAAACACATACTGAAATTTATAAACAAATTGAAGTAATGAACCACCACGCAAAATGTTTTGGGGAAAAAAGCCTCCAAATGATTTCCTAACTTTCAAGCTAGAAGATTCAGCGAGTGTTCGATGATCTAAACTGAGGGGCCCAAGGGTTTACTAATAGAGGTTGGTGGACCATGTTTCCTTAGGTCAAGGTACCCGTGATCATGATTTTTTTTTTTTTCTTGAGTTCATTTATATGACCATGGTTTGTCGAGAATGTAGGAGCTCATAGGGAATAGAGGGGTTCGTGTGTCCGTAATTCTTGGGACACCTTGGCGTTCAAGTCTCACTCTTGCTAACCTGGACAGTTATATTAACTGGATGCATTCATGTAATGAATCAAGCAGGGGTCAGTTGCAGAGTTAGGGTCGAAGTTGAAGTACCAAACTAAATATAACAATGTGGACAAAGGCATTGATCAGTGTATGTAGTCATGGCTCCTGATCGATAACATTAGTCGCTGGTTGGCCAGTACACAAACAAAATAAATTCTGATGGAAGTTTTAAAAGCAACAAAACTAGATAAATAATAAGAGAGATGAGGGGGAAGGGGGGATTACCTGAACTAGCATAGATCTTAAAGGTAGCCGGATGGCCACTCTTCACAGGATCTGGTGAAATATCAACTCCAGACACCTTCACAGCATAGTCTGTCTTCTTATCTACAAAGATTTTTTAGCAGGAAAATAAACAGACAGAAAGATAACCATGATCGAAACAAGTTGAACAAACCATAAAAATAGATAAGCTGCCAGCACTACATGACATCACAGGATCACACAGTCACAAAATTAATATGCAGAAAAATAATAGCAATACTTGCTCTCACTAAAACACTACTTATTATTTGCTGAAATTTATTAAAAGCTACAAATTTTCACAGTCTCAACCAGCATCCACAATGCATTAGAAACTACAAATTTTCATAGTCTCAACTAGCATCCACAATGCATAGTTGCTTAAATAAATTTTTTGGGTCTTGTACTACCATATAGTTTTGAACACTACTGCTGAATGAAATTCACGTCAATAGTAAAGTTGCTATAGTGGCTGTTTATTCTAATTTTGTGGATCCTACGAATGATTTCATTTTGTAATTTTTTAGGATCTGAGTTGTATTGTTCTAGTTCATCATTCGATTTTTTTTAGTTTTGCATTGTACCTTTTGTTTTGTAGATCTGATATTTTTTTCTCCTCAGTAGTTTAGTCCAAAAATTTTAAGCAGCATTGCTTATACAACCGATAGTGCTTGTATAAGCAACGCGAGCTCATTGCTTTGATGCTAAACAAAATCATGCAACGGTTTTTGGCGTTAAACAACTCTATTCAACACTTACATCGTAGATAGACTTAATGAGCCACTTTCATGATTTTGTTGTTTTCAATAAATTTCAACCTATTAGCATGTTCCTACAATTTATCTTCATCCAAAATAATATATTCCAATTTCAAACAGAAACCAAATCCTAACCCCAAAAAAAAATGTTTCTTTCTTCATATAAATTCATGAAATTTTGAGGACCAATGGGAAAAGGAGTAGAAAACCTATTGTGCAGATGAACAGTAAATATCAATAAACAGAAGTAGTCAAACATCAAAACATATAGAAATAAATCTAAGTTTCCAGTTTATATGATCGAATCAAACCAAATTTTAACAATAAAAAGTCAACAGAGAGAGAGAGAGAGAGAAAGAGAAAGTGGTGGAGTACCACAATAGGAGATTTTAATAGTAGCTTGTGCCTGGAAAGATGACAGAAAGAGAATGGATAGGGTAAGAAGAAGGTAGAGTTTGGGAAGAGAGTGAAACTCCATGGCTCAGTGGAAAAGGGTGTAGAAGAAGCAAAGGCCGGAAGAAAGAGAGTGGGAGAACCAAGAGGGACATGTACTGATAAACACAACGTTTTCCGTAGGTATTGGACTATATTACTGGGTCCCACAATTTAGACCAACGAAGCAAACAAAATTATCGTTACATGAAAACACAGAGGAGTTTCGTTGTCTACAATTATTTTTTAAACATTTTTCAAAATGAAAATAACATTTCGCAAGTTTGTTTTTGTAAAAAATAATAAAATATTATCAATATAAAGGTACAGTTTTATTATATATATATATATATATATATATATATATATGAAAATTTGTATCTCCTTTACATATTAGTGTAAATAAATATAAATGTAGTTAAATAATAATCATACCACCAGACTTAATTCACCTGGGACGATTGTATTTATAAGAAAAAATTTAATATTTTAGTTTTATATACTGTATATAAAGATTATATTAACAAACCAATAAATAGTTTATTAAATATATCTTTTAAAATGCTGTGTTTTTATTGTATTGTGAATCTTAATTCAAAGAGTTGGCAAGAGTTATTATTCTGAGAATTTTTGAAAAATATTTAACTAAAAGTTATTTTATAAACTTATGATTATAGATTGCAACGTATTTTGACTCTATTACGTTTAAGTTAACCACTAATTTTAAAAAATGTATTCCTCTTTCACATTTTTTTAAGTTTAGATAAGTAATTGTTTCCATAGCATAAATATTTTTCAAACATACACTTAAAAGTTGTTAATGGTAAAATTATTCTTATGTCCCGTTAAGATCCGTTGTAGATAATAAAAACATTAATGATATCAACATGTAAATAAAAAAATATTATATTATTTTCAGTTGGTATATATTTCACTAAAATATATGAAAATATCGCTTAGTTTTATTCCATTTTCTTCATATTTCGTTTTTTTTTTTAGGATTTTTCATAACACTTGGTACTATTGGAATCCTATGAGTTATAAATTAAAATAAATAAAAGTGAAGCACCGCGTGCAATGCATGGGCATGGCATGTTTTACCTAAATACAGAGGTAAATGGGGAAAATCTCAATTTTATATAGCGTAGAAACTACATCTTAATTATTATTAGTAACTTTTTTCGAACAAACAAAGAGAAATTATTTAAAAGAGTTTATCTAAAATTTATAAACATGATATAAATTTTGTCCTTAACCTTTCAGCTTAATTTTGAGTTTTTGAAAACACAAAAAAAAAATAGCAAACTATTACATTTATAAATGTTTTAATTTAATAAATACTTAATTCAACTCTAAACATTTAACCCGGTTGGTTCATTGATCGTCTGAGTTATTTATTATTAATAAACGAAACTTCAAATCAATTTTCACACTGAAGTTTTAATATTATGTCATTAAAATGATCCAAGTTTTTAAAAGTACTTCCAAATCTAATATCGATCGAATCGAATTTAATATCTAAACTACGGGTCAAACATTTTTCAGTTACCCTAATACATATAGAAGAATAACTTTTTATCATGAAAGAAATGAATTCGAATACTTCTTTGTAACTTTTTACCATGCAAGTAAAGAATATGAATACTTTGATAACTCTAAACATAAATTAATATGGGACATGGCTGTGTAAATACATAAGACTTCTTTTGTCCCTAAAAATTATAAATAGTGGATTAGTCATTTTGTGAACAGGTTAAAAATAAGAATTCTTTTGCTTTTCTTTTAATTAAATAAAAATTTTAGATGAATTTGTTTCGACCATAACTTGATCGCTCTATTATAAAGCTCCCCCCGTTTCTTTCTAATCTCAATACCCCTTTTTCTCAGTTTGCTGCACAAAACCACTCTGTTTTATCCTTCACATTATCCAATAAGTTCTACACTTCAGTTGAAGTAGAAAGACCCAGAAACCAATATTAAATCATCTAATACACTTCCTGCTAAATCATAATTATTTATAAAAATCTGACCGAGAAACCCATATTAAATACTCTAATACACTTTCAACATTAGCCATTGATCTTGCTAAAAAAAAAACCGGCAAGAGACACAAATATTAAAACTCGTCAACTTTCAAACATCTCTTTGTTACCAAAATCCGATTATTATCATTTCCCCAATTTAATCTTCCACTATCATACCTAGTAACATAACACGCCAATAAAAATAATCCATACCCTCATTTGCAAAGATATTTACTCAAAAATCAACGAGTCAGCAGCAACTTTTAAGGACCCATATGCTACTTCATTCAATCTTTGAGAAATAATCACATGTCCCCATTCCCCCCTCTCACATCTTAGCCTAACAAGTTTCTTTAAAATCCATTCATTAACATGGAGACACATTAAATAGTCATAAAATGAAATAACCGAAAAAGAAACGCTTAAAAAAAAAACAAACACATAGTGTCAAGTATTTAGGATACCAAAACGAAAATTATCCTTTGAACAATATTACTGTTCACTTTCTCTCAATCACTGGTTGTCCGCTACTCATCCTTAGTCCACACTACAGTTACGGAACATCATCAGAATCATCATGACTCAATTTTTTCATCAACTCAGATTCTACATTCCACACAATTATTACTGCTGGGCACACTGTACCCTCTGTGCACCACCGGGCATATCATCATCCTCCTCATACGCCTCCTGAGCTTGTTGCTGCCTCCTCCTCGACTCCTCCTCCATATTGACATCATGAAGTGTGGTCTCCTCACACTCATCCAGCTCCATGTCAGTCAACTGTGAAGGCACCTTCGGGGGCAGAACAGCCTCCAAAGCCTTAACCTGATCCGGATTTAGAAAATCTGGGAATTCCACAGTGAAGTGGAGATAAAGCTTCCCCTTCATGAATGGCCTCTGATACATGGGCATTCCCTCATCATTAATAGCCTTGTATGAATCTGCACGTGAAGAGCAGTGCACATCACATTACACAAGTAAATTCCATAGAAAATAGAGGCTCAAAAGGATTGCACGTGAATCATTTACACACCAGGTTTGACAACTTCCCCGGGATTTGATTTAATAAGAAGCTGACGGCCATCCAAGTGAGTCAAGACAAATTGGAAACCACACAAAGCCTCGGTAAGGGACAAGGTGTGCTCTACAAAAAGGTCTTCAGCCTTTCTTTTGAATTTGGGATGTTCCTTCTGCTGAAGGACAAAGACAATGTCGCCGGTAATTGTATCAGGCTGCAACACACAAACAAGTCATTTATCATCAAATAATGCAATCAATAATCGTAACCTACATTCAGTAGTCCATGAAACTAAGAGTCAGCAAGGATATGATCAACATCTCAGCATACCGCTTCATCAGCTTCACCAGGGAATGTAATTTTCTGCCCATTCTGCATTCCCTTCTCCACATGAACTTCAAGAACTTTCTTCTCCTGCACAACCTTCTCTCCCTTGCACTGTGGGCAGCGATCTCTGTCATTGATAGTTTCTCCAGTACCCTTACATTCATTGCAAGCATGCTGCATCTGTTGAATCATGGATGGACCAAGGTGTCTTATAGACACCTTCATACCAGTTCCTTGACAACCAGCACACTTCATAGAAGCCCCAGACTTAGAACCCTTGCTGCAAACAATTCAGAAACGACAACCATAATAAGAAACCCCGTGACAATTAAATTTAGTATCTGTTTAAATTGATCCAACGTGTTAAATAAGATTCAGTTTTCGTTCCTGTAAAAGTGACAATATTCTAACTATTATAACAAAATTTCCATAAATGAGAGAACAACTGGAGTAGACTTATTTGCTATAGACTAAAAGTGAAACATAGTACTAACAGGGATTAAAAAATAGTTATCACTAATAACATCCATACTTCAATTTTAAATATTGTCAAAAAACTACATCACTCAATCTACAAAGAATAAAAATTACACGATTCAAAATTAACCAATATCATGCTTTTCATATCACAAACACTTTTCCCTTCTATCTAATTGTTGATAAACAAATATTCAATATTCCAACAAAGAATAAAAACCATTCTATGTCAAAATTAACCAAAATCATACTCCTACACCCAATACAAGCAAATTCTGTTAATACCCACCCACTGCACTTGGAGCATATGACATTTCTGGAGAGGGAGAGCTTCTTTGAAGTCCCCAGGTAAAGGTCCTCCAGAGAAACCTTGAGAGGGTGAACCACATCTTCTCCGCGTCTCTGTCTCCTACCGCGGCTACTACCACCTATTCACAAAGCCATTACTCCTTAAGGACACAAACAAGCTGAACATGCAATTATTGCTCAATCAAAATTAGCAAAAAATCAGTATACTAGCAGCCAAACCTGATCCAAACGGACTCCCACCGCCAAAGAACGATGAGAAGATATCGAACGGGTCGTGGCCACCGCCACCGCCCATTCCTTCCTTGAGCGCATCTTCACCATACTGATCATATATATCACGCTTCTCAGGGTCACTCAGAACCTCATAAGCTTGCGCCAACTCTTTAAACTACAACAGACAAAAAAAAATCATTAAGCCTAGGCTTATCACGATAAAACAAACTTGCAGATCACGATAAAACGACGAACACAGAAACCATTAAACCCAAATTAGATCAACATCCCTAATTGAACCCTAAATCAGTGAACATAACCCATAATTGAAACCTAACTGTATGAAACCGTAATTCAAGTGGAAATGAAATGATTGAGAACTACAAAGGTACCTTCTCGGGATCACCGCCCTTGTCGGGGTGATTTTTTATAGCTGCTTTCTTGTATGCCTTCTTCAAATCGTCCTGCGAAGCATTCTTGGACACGCCGAGGATTTCGTAGTACCGTGTGTTATCACTCTTCTTCGGTGCCCTCCCAAACATCTTGCTCTAATGGATTGAAATTGGAAACCCTAGTTTCAGGCAAGGAAGAACGAGAAATGAAGACCCTAGATCCGAACAAACACGAGAAGAACTACCACCCTAGCTGTGGATGTTCCAACCTTCTGTATTTATATTTATATTTGAATTCTTCTTTATTTTTTGTTTCTATTTTTTAGGGTGGATATTGAGAGACGAGTTAATAACGGACGGTTGAGATGGAAGCTCGTGGTGTGGGTCCCACTGGAGAAGGGTCTAGAATTTTTGTTGGCGTGTTGAGGTGATGTTGGAGTTGTGAACCGTTGGATGCGAAATGTGGTGGAAGTGGGATTTTGTTCTAGATCCTTCACAACTAGTCCAGAAATGCCAGAGTTTTCTTTCTTTTCTCATGTTTAAAAAAAAAAAATTATTCCTTTAAAAAAATAACATTTTTATTATGTTTAATTTATATTAATTTAAAAAAAGGTGGAATATAAAAAGATCATATTCTTGAAAATCCCCTTTTTTTTATGTTTGCAAAATAGATATATCAATTTTTTAAAATATACAATTAATTATATTTTATTTTTTATTTTTAAAATAGTTTTTATTTTTCTTATTATTTACTCATCAATATTTTTATTATATTTTATTTTATCTAACTTTCTTTTATAATTTGTTCTTTTTATCACACTTTTTTTAGAAGAAAACATAAGTTAATTAAAAAAATAAAAAATAAAAAGTTGTTACAGAAAATTGATAAAAAAAATTATTAATAAATAATAATAAAATATCTTTTTTCATATTTAAAAGTTTCATTTTTAACTTTTTTATGATAATTAACTATAAATAAATATAAAAGTAGCATTTCTCAATATTACTTTCTTCTTATAATTCAAAAAATTTATAAATAGTTTTGTAATTATATAGCTGTCTAAATATACGTAAAATCCTATTAAATACTAATAAAATATTTTTTAATGAAAAAACTACTAAAATTGGTTTGAAAAAAATATTTGTGAGAAACTTTATTGCATGTATTCTTTACTCAAATGGTAAAAAATCTGACGTTCACCATATCATTCTGAATATAAAATAAACAAACTAAAAGAGATATTTTTTTTCCTTCAACATACATACCAATAAGAAAATTATTCAACTTAATATAAGTATTATTGATGAGATATTATTCATAAACTTAATTTTGGATTTAAAATTATCAGATATAATATAAAATTATAAATTAAAAAAATATATATTATTTTTATTATGAGTATTAAACAATTAATGGACAATAAAATATATTTTGTAATTATAAATTATTATATGTAATAATTTATAATAAAATATGTACCTACCCTTTCAGTTTATATTGTTTCTCTTATTTAAATTTTACTTTAATTATTCTTCTTTTCTTAATTTTATCGTGTGTTATATAAATATAATAGTTATATTGAGTAATCAATTAATATATTATTATTTATAAGTAAGAATGGATGCATGGAAAAATCATTCGTACATTAATTATTTAAATTTTTTAAAATTATAATAATTTTATTGTAGAATGTATTGTTGATGTTAATAACTATATATATATATATATATATATTATTTATATTATATATATATTTTATAATAATAAAAAATATATAACATTATAAATTGAATTAAAGTAGAGATTGAAAAAAAAAAAAACTAAAAAGGACATCAAACCAAAGGTAATTTACCATTAAAAAATAACTTAAATATAAATTTTAAAGCTTGAAATCTATTTCTATATTTTTTTATCAAGATTTACAATTAAAAACTATCATTTATTTGTAAATTTATTTATGTACACACGGATAGTATCAAATCAAGAATGATCTCACTTGTATATAATAAAAGAAAAAAAGAGCAAAAAAATAAATTAAATTGACAAACAAAATAAATAAATTTATAAATAAAATAATATATTCATAATTATAAAAAAACATATTAAAAGATATATAATAACAATTATAAAATAATTATTATTAAAAAATTATTATTTCTAATATAATACAACTATTTATTATATAATTACAGTTTGATTTGAAAAAATTATATATATATATATATATATATATATATATAATTATCATTATGATATAAGCTAATTATAATAAATATACATAATTATATAAACTAATTGTAATAAATGAATTATTATTAAAAATTAAAATTAATTTTAAAATTACAATCACGATTTTTTAACAACCATTCACATTGAAAGATATTTTCTTTTATTTATTTTGTATTTATTTACTTATTAACCTTTTTTAAAAATTAATTATGTATTTGTAATTCAAATTTAATTTTATTTGTTATTATTTAAAATTAACTATAATTGTCATCTATCTATAAAAAAATCAATCATTCCAAATTATAAAAAAATTAATAGAATTTAATTGAATATTTGAAGATAAAAACTTACAATTAAAATAAATTACAATATAAAATAGAGAAACTAAAAATATATTTTAAGAAAATAAATTTAACTTTTCATGTGATGATTTTAATTCTTTTAACAATCTTTCATGCCATAAGACCAAAAATGTACAATTTTGTTTAAAAGGTAAAAAAATTTAAAATTAAACCAAAGTGAATGAGTGAAGAATATTAAAAGAAAAAAAAAATCAGCAAAAGAAAACATTATTATTTGTTATATCAAATTTGTCACAGCGGGTGAACACTCTGTTGCCCTTTTCTTTCCAGAGCCCTCCAAAGTTTGCAACTTTACACTGTAGAATAAAAACCAGCCACCCAATTAGTAGCCAGTAGATTCAAAGTTGAGAAACAGAAAAAAGGAAAAGCTTGGCATCTCCCACCACACCATCATCATCATCATCAAGTCCAAACACAACAATGACACTAAAAGGGACATTGTGGTTGATGATGCTGACACTGGTAGTAGTTGTTGTTACTGCCACCACCAACAAGAACAGTGTGTACCAGCCTTGTGCTGATGCTAAGATTCAGAGATCTGATGGTTTCACTTTTGGCATGGCCTTCAGCTCCAGGGATTCTTTCTTCTTCAACCAGTCCCTTCAGCTCTCACCCTGTGACCGACGTCTCTCTCTCTCCTCATCCAACTCACAGTTTGCTCTCTTCCGTCCCAAGGTTGATGAGATCTCTCTCCTCACCATCAACACCTCTAATTTCTTCCCAGTAAGTTACAGTGCTACCTCTCGGCTCAGCTCATAATCTCACCATCTGGTCTTATTCTTTTATATTTTTATCTGACAGTGGCTGGTGGCTGGATGAAATTGATGCTATCCATTTATTTCTTTTGCTTATGGACTATGATCTTACTGTGACATGGATGTTTGACTCTCTTGTGTTGAAAAGTTTAAAATTTTGAAATGATATATGAATTATTTTTAGAGAAATTTATTTTTTTTGGACAATTTAAATGTATAAGAGAGAAGAAGAGAAGCCAATGTTTAGGATAAAATAGTTTATGATTATAGTCTTGTATGAATCAGTGATCTATTAAATGTTGATTATGTTGGGAACTTTCACTGGTACAAAAGTTTTGTACAAAAATAGTTATCTGGTGTGATGCAGAGATAGAAGGAAAAGAGAATGTTTTAGTAAATAGTGGATGTTACTATTGTATGAACAAGGGATCTCTTATATTTGGTATCGGAATGGGGATAATAGGATTGTGCCTTCTGTTAGTTGGTTGGTAAAAATGGGTACTTCTATATTTTATATTGACATGGGATTGTTGTAGTTCTTGTGGATAATGAATTCGTGTGATTATCACGGTGAGGGGTTTCAACAATCAATGGATATTCTTGTTTTTTTGTTGAATAATATGAATTTGGGCTGAGAAATGTTTGAAGTAGAAATAACTTGTTATACATTTTGTAGACTTTCTGTTGTACATTGGAAACTAATCAAAGAACCTAAGTTTATATTCTAGTATTGGAAAGAAGAAATTAAGCTTTACGAGAACTTGAGAATGAGAGTAAGATTCTTTGAGGTTGTTGAATGTCGTAAATTCAGCTTTAAAGTGTTTTAAAGGAGATATGAGAGGTTAATTATTATTATTAAAGAGAAATTGTTGTGTACTTCTAAGACTACTGCTCCAATATGCTAAAAATATTAACCATGTTGCGGAGAGATCAAGTAGAGTTTTGGCCAAAATGGTAGATCAAAGCCAGGGGACAGATATTCAGCCCCCATTGCAATAATACCTATTATATAATTCACATCCTGTCCTGCATCTCCCTTTAAAAAGTTAGGTACAGTGATCAAACCTGACCTATATTCTTTACACCTAGCCCAATAATGTCATTTTCTTCTGTTTTTCCATTATGCCACAATATTGTCATTAGTATTGACATTTAACTGAAGCGTTGTTTCTACGTTTGGAAGTTGGAACCATCTTAAGCTTCTTTATGCATGCCAGGGTACAAGTGAGACCAATTATATTATGTTTTTGGCATTGCTAATTGAATATTTTCCCTGCTAGTAAGTACCTCTGTAGGCTTGTAATAATCTTCATTTACAAGTTTCAACAATAAATTATTGTCTTACTATGTTGACGTGTTGATCTGTTACAATTTCCCCTTTATTCTTGTGTTAGCTCCAACTTAAAGATAAACAGCCCCTTATTGGTGTAACCATTGACTTGATTATACACAATGTACTGACCAATTTATCTAAAATCTTGCTGTATCTATCTCTTCATTGTTGAATTTAAACTACTCATCATTGATTATATGTAGAAGTCAGGCAAACTTGGCAGTCTTTCTATCTCTGTTTGACTTGACAAGTTCATTTAACACAAAATTTACATCTGATAAACTATATTAAACGTAAACTCAAAGTTAATATAGTGAAGTTAACAATGACTCTTGATTATTAGGATTGTTATTTTGCTCTGATCTTTGTTTTTCAATGCCGGGGGTATGTTCACATGTACACAGACATAAAAACAATAAGCTACAAATTCAAATCATTAGGCAGCATAATCAGAAGTAAGGAGGCTGCTACTTTTAGAGAAAAAAAGATGTACCATTAATGTAAATAAATTTTGGCCATCAACTAATTAGAAATCATGGAGGGTAGGAATTTATTGTAATTTGCAATAGTTGGTGTGTAAGTAGGCAAACTTATCATGTATGGTAATTTTGACTAATGATTTTGCAAAATCTTTTTACACTGCTAGTGTTTTTTATGATTTTTGTTTGGACTACAATGCATGTTTGAGTTAGTAATAAAGTGGCTTTTGTTTTGTTTTTCATAGAACATTCAAATTCACAAACTGTTATACAAATTCCCTGGTTGACTTCGAGTACTCAAATATTTGTTTATAACCATGAACGGGATCATCAACGATTTTCCTGTTTTCAAAGATTATGGAGCTGTAGTTTTATTCTCCACTACTTCTAAAAAGCCATGGATGGTGCTTTAAGACTTCTGCTATAAGAAGATAGAAGTGAAAATCACAAGTTATGGTGATTTGCATTGGGATGCCTTTAGTTCCCCTGAAAGAAGCTAAGGTAAAAGTTGCATGAGCAGTGTCATCGTAACAACTTGTAACTTTCATTTTCATCTCGATAAATAGGATTCATATGGTGGATATATGGTGGCATTTGCGGGGAGGAAGTATGCTGCACGATCTCCACTTGCATTTGTTGCAAACAGCACATATACGGTGACAAGTTTCACACTGGTAAGAGATGTAGATCAGGGACGTGATGAGTTGAGTTTTTGGTTAGTTTTGAAAAATCTAAGGCTTAGTTGGACTTTTCCATTGATTAGGTACTAGAGTTTCAGAAGGGTAGGCTGCAGAACTTGTACTGGAAAAGAGATGGTTGCTCTTCATGCAAGGGAAATTCCAACTTTGTTTGCCTCAACAAACAAGATTGTGCAATCAGAACATCATCTTGTAAAGGCAGAGGAGGTGCAGTTGATTGCAGTCTAGGAATTCAGCTAGCATTTTCTGGTACAGACAAGCATCTGTCAGTGCTTAATTCATGGTATGAAGTGGAAAACCTGCGGCAGTACTCTCTCTACGGCTTGTACTCAAATCTGAAGGACTCTCTCACCAGCCAGTTTAACAAATTCTTTTAACAACATAAAGAAAATCTCCCTCTCTGGATTATTTTGATTACTTTGGGCTGGTATTGTAACTTCTGTGGCTATTGCTTTTTGCCTTATTATTTGTTACTGGATCTGGAAAAATAGATTAACTGAAATATGATTTTTTTATTATTTCAATACAAAGAGATGATATAAGATATATATAGGAGACCTAAGCTATTTTAGGAAATATAATAACTCTATTTTATGCTAGGATCCCTTGATTTATGGGATTGTTCCTAATTATTCAAATCTGTAGAGATTACAAGGAAATATACAAATTTCCTGATTTATTCTTTCCTAAAATACTATCTGATTTCCCACACTCCCCCTCAAGCTGGTGAATAGATGTTTTCCATTCCCAGCTTGGATACAATCTTCTCAAAATTATGGCAGCCCAGTCCCTTGGTAAGAATGTCGGCAATTTGGTCTTGAGAGGACACATATGGAGTGCATATCAAGCCACTATCAAGTTTTTCTTTGATGAAGTGTCTGTCTTCTTCAATATGCTTTGTTCTATCATGTTGCACTGGGTTGTGGGCTATACTGATTGCTGACTTATTATCACAATAGAGCTTCATAGGTTCTTCCCAATTTATCCTCAAGTCTTCTAAGATGATTTTAAGCCATAGCAACTCACATAACATAAACTTGTCCTCCTTTCCTTGAGGAGCCTCCTTTGTGTCCCCCTTCTCGATCTCGGTTTAAAGGCTTCCCATGTAACTTCCAACACTTCTCTCGGGTATGACGAGGTTTATTGCAGTAGGTACACCAGAGACCATCACCTTTCTTCTCCACATTTGCTGATCCTCCTTTCTTCTGTTCGGTTACCATGGCCAAAGTTTGATCTCCTTTATGGTCCAGTGCTGAGTTCTCTACTGCTGGACTCTCTAACATGAGACCCCTTCTACTTTCTTCACTTCTCACAATAGCCACCACTTCATTGAGGCATGGTACCTTTTGCTTCCCCAATATTTGAATCCTAACTTGATCAAATTCAGGATTCAAACCAACAAGGAAATCATAAACTCTGTCTTGTTCGATATACTCCTTGAGAAGTGCTGAATCTTCAGTACATTTGGCTTTTATGACTCTATAATAGTCTAGCTCCATCCACAATGATTTCAGCTGATTGGCATATTCTGTAATAGTCTTGTTCCCTTGTTTTGCTGCCAAAGTTTTCACCTTTACTTCATATATTTGAGCAGCATCTTTGGCTTTAGAGTAGGTTTGCTCTACAGCATCCCAAATATCTTTTGCCGAATTAAGGAACATGCAGGTGTCGCTGATTTCTGGAATCATTGAATTCCACAGCCACGCCATGATCATTGAATCTTCTTCATCCCATGTAGTAAACTTGGGATCCTCCTGTTTAGGTCCAGACTCCATCAGGTGACTCAACTTCCCCTTTCCCTTCAACACTGTACGAACAAGTTGGGCCCACTTCAAATAATTTCTTCCATTTAGTCTATATGCAGAATGAATATTCTGCAGTTCTCCTATTTCTGGGTTTGGATTCGCAACTTCCTCTTCCCTTGACATCATAGCAAGGAGGTGTGATGCAACAGCAATGCAGGCTGTCGTCTTAGGATTAAGAAAAATGCAGCAGCAATGCAGACTGCCATCTTAGGGTTAAGAAAAATGCAGCAGCAATGCAGGCCGTCGTCTTAGGGTTAAGAAATATGCAGCAGCAATATAGGCTGCCATCTTAGGATTACGAAAAATGCAGCAGCAATGTAGGCTACCGTCTTAGGGTTAAGAAAAATGCAGCAGCAATGTAGGTCTGCCGTCTTAGGGTTAAGAAAAATGCGGCAGCAATGCAGTCGCCGTCTTAGGGTTAAGAAATATGCGGAACAATGCAGGCTGCAGTCTTAGGGTTAAGAAATATGTAGCGAGAATGCAGACTACCGTCTTAGGGTTAAGAAATATGCAGCAGCAATGTAGGTTCGTTGTCGTAGGGTTAAGAAAAATGCGAGCGAATGCAGTCGCCGTCTTAGGGTTAAGAAATATGCAGCGAGCAATGCAGGCTGCCATCTTAGGGTTAAGAAATATGCAGCAGCAATGTAGGCTGCCGTCTTAGGGTTAAGAAATATGCAGCAGCAATGTAGGCTGCCGTGTTAGGGTTTATCGCACGCAGACATAGCTTCCTAGATCGGAAGCTCTGATACCATCTGGAAAAATAGATTAACTGAAATATGATTTTTTTATTATTTCAATACAAAGAGATGATATAAGATATATACAAGAGACCTAAGCTATTTTAGGAAATATAATAACTCTATTTTATGCTAGGATCCCTTGATTTATGGGATTGTTCCTAATTATTCAAATCTGTACAGATTACAAGGAAATATACAAATTTCCTAATTTATTATTTCCTAAAATACTATTTGATTTCCCACACTGGATATTTATTGCATACCAATTTTTGGTTTATAACCATTACATGAAGAGTTTTTGTACATGTTTTCATTTGTTTGATGAAACAGGTTGTCGTCAAATCTGAAATTGTGTGTTGAATATGTATGACTTGAGAAATATCAAATAAGAATTGATAGTACAATGGTTTGAGAATAAAAGGAAAAAGTTCCATGTCATTCCAGAAGAGAAAAATAAAACAATGTAATCCAACCTAATCACTAATAACTGGCAATTCACGCAATTATTCTTTAACACACATCATAGTAAGTTCTATACTTTATTAAATGACCTCGTCACTATCATCAATGTCACTCAGTTTTAATTTGTACACAAATTCTAATTTTTTATCTAATTTTCATTAATATTTTTCCAAATTAAATACTATCTTTCAAATAGTTTTGTTTCATGAGGATTTTAGGTTAATAATTGTATCTATAATAAATTAATATTACACTAATAATAACATTAGACCATATTACAATTGTAGTGTTCTTCAATTCTTTTGAGTCAAATTTTAGTCTCTAAACTTTGAAAAAATTGTAATTTTAATTCAATTTTGTAAATGTTTTAAAAAATTTGAAGAGTCAAATTGTGTAAAATTGTATAATTATTTTATCATGTTTAGGTTTTATCTATAACCCTAAATGTAAATTAGTATAATCTGTTTCTTATTTAAAATAGTTTTTTTATTACTCATTTTCATTATAATTATAATCACAATTATTTTTATAATTGATGTATAGTTTTCACTCTCAACATTTTATCATTTATTATGACTTTAATTATCATGACTATAACTTAATTTTCATCATTATTGTAAAAAATATATTATTGTTTTAATTATTATTATTATTATTATTATTATTAATATGTTATTATCATTATTAATGTATCATCTACATTCTAACAAATACCCATATGTTCTTACTAATAATATAAAAGTTATGACTTATTAATTATTTTCACTTCTTATATAATTATTGATGTTAATTTTCGCTATTAATTTTATTATATTTTTTATATTGGATAAGACGAAATTAACAATACGTTGATTTTTAATAACGATAAATGAGTTAAGTCATAATAACATCTTTAATAAGGAAAACTTTAATGCATTAAGTTATTAAAGTTTTTTAACTTTTTTATTTCTATTATATGTGTAATTTTAACTCATTTTTATTTTTAGCAATCTCTTCCTTAAACGTGATTTCCTTTTATATTGGATTACTTCCTCGCCTTAAAACGAAAATATTTCTTAATGGCGAATGTCTAATAATGATCTTACTTATATTATTGTTCAACTCAATAAGAGTTGTTTGCCTCACATTTTTGTCAAAAAGACTTTCAACATAACAATCCACAAAAAAAAAAATTTGTCACCTACTTCATCTTGTACTCAATCGAACCAATGCACAAATCATTAAATCTAATACTAGTGTTTGATATTTTCAAGAAGACTAAAAATATAAATATTTTCAATAATAAAAATAAGTCAACTATATAAAAAATGACACATTTTTAACACAAAATCATAAAATATTAAATTATAGTTTTTGTTTTGATAGATAATTGAACTTTTTATTTTTATTCAATATAAGATTTTACTTGCACTTATATTTCTAATCTATAACCATAACATATTAATTATAATAGTCTATTATTTTATATATTATCATGTGTTTATCATTTCATGATTACTTAAACATTCTTAATTAGATAAAAAAACACACAATGTCATATAAAATAAAATAAATGATATTTTAACTTTATAAGTTAAATATATATTTTAAAAAAATCTCAATAGAAAATTATAAAAGAAGTGTAAAAAAATAAATAAATTAATTAGTCCATTTATATCTTAAAAATAATATAGTAGTTTTGCTTTTCTGTATTTTTCTATTATCTTCTCTAACAAGGTTAGATTATGATTGTCACCAATTTACTATTATGACCGAGTTGTTATTATTATTTTTTATTAGTAAATCCACTATTTGTTTTTTAATGGTTACTATAATTGAAATTGTCATAATAATAATAATAATAATAATTATTATTATTATTATTATTACCAATGTTATTATCATCATTATTATATTTTTTATTATAATTAATTATTAATATTGAGACTTTATTCTGGCTAAAATCAAGTACTAAATAGGATTAATGTTTATCTTTCACATATCTTAATAATTATTTATTTATTTTATATATTATCCTGTTTTATGATATCATCACTACTAAAAAATTTATAAGTTAACATGAAGAAAAAAGAGATCAATATATATATATATATATATATATATATATATATATATATATATATATATATATATTTAACCTAATAAGTTAAATTTTTTTTTAAAATTATCAATAGAGAAATACAGAAAAAATATTTTAAAAAAGGAAGAATCTAATTTAAATAAATAGTCCATTCATATCCTAAAAAAATAAAATAATTTATTATATCAAAATATTATTTAATTACAAATAATTATATATTAGAAATTTGAGTTAAAAATGTCTTTTCCATGAAGGTGATTTTTACAAGTTTTTTAAGGTTGAAATTTGATTACCCTAGAATGACAAAAAAAAATCCACTTAAAAAGTGTTACGTTGTTTTAACTCATCAATCTGTTGTCTTCTAATAAACTTAGCAAGTCAAAATAGAATAACATGACACAATGATTGGTTTTTTAAAAAAATATTTATATATTAAAATTAAAATAATTATAATTAAAATATTATTATATTATATTATTAAAATATATAAAAATATTATAATAAAAAATGTAAAAATTAATTAAATTTAAATTGTTGATTATAATTAATTATTTGATAAATAAACATAATATTTTTTAATTTATCTAATAAAAATATTAAAATATATTTTTAAAAAATTTATATAAAAAATTATTGATAAACTATTATATTTGACAAGATAAACCACGACCTACATCTCATTCTAATTATAACCAACCATCGTGTTTTGTCTCACTCTGTGTTTTATAGATTATAAACAAGGATGACTTACTCGTTTTACCAACATTTTGGTTTTCTTTTATTTTACATCTTAGATGTGTTTACATTCTTTTTACGGGATATAACTAAAAATAATTATTAAAATAGTTATTGACAAAACAATTACTCAATTTTTAAAACAAAATTATAAAAAAACCATGAAAAAAATAATTATAAATGTATACCTATTTATTCACATATAAAATCTATTAGGTAATTATTATTTAGATTATTTTCGTTTTGCAACTTAATGTTTTAGTATTAATGATTAATAATATTTATAAAACACCTTGCGTTTATTAATTGTTTATTGGTAAAATTGAATGACAGAGAGAATTGAGGTATCAAGTATATATCGGGTCGATTGTACGGCCAAATAACCCGGACGACGCCACGTCACCCCTTCCTTGCAACAAATCCGAAACCCTAAAACTGAAATCAGCCATGGTAGCATAGCGGACTCAGAAAGCGAATAGCAGAGCAAAGAAACAGAAAGTGGAACGAGAAGAAGCAGTGTGTAGAAGCAATGGGAAAGAAGAACGAGAATCAGAAAACGGGGCTAGGTCGAGCCCTCGTGAAGCAGCACAATCAGATGATTCTACAGAGCAAGGACAAGTCTCGCTTATACAAAAAGAAGGTTCTCGAATCCTTCACCGAAGTCTCCGACATCGACGCCGTCATCGAACAATCCCTCGAATCTCTCCCCGAACACGCCGCCGCCTCCACCACCATCATCAGCCTGTGAGTCTTCTTTCTGCTCTCACGCGCCCACGCTCTTCTTTCCTTGAATATTCTGTGACGTTAATCGTTCTGTGTGAATAGGGACCCTACCGAAATGACGCCTGAAGAAACGAGGAAGCATGAGGAGGCGCTCTACGCCAGCAGCCTCCGAGTTCCGCGCCGGCCGCCTTGGAATCCCAACATGTCCCCCGAGGATCTTCACGACAGCGAAACGCAAGCTTTTTTGGTTTGGCGTCGCAGTTTAGCGAGGTTAGTTCTTTTATGCTTGTTTTGATTATAGGCTAGGAATGGGATTTATAGAATTAAACCCTGGAAACTTGGGTTATTGCATGTTCAGGGATTATGAGTGTATTTTCATTGTTTCTAATTTGGCCGGCGTTGATTAAGGGATTTGTTGGCCATTTTAGTTTTTGTTTTGGTGGTGTTTCAGGCTTGAGGAGAATAAGAAGCTTGTTCTTACTCCGTTTGAGAAAAATCTTGACATCTGGAGACAGCTCTGGCGTGTTGTTGAGCGTAGTGATCTGGTAAGTTCAATCATCTTTGAAGTTTTATGAGTTCATAAAGGATTTGATCTGTTTATGTTATTTTCGTATGAGTGATAGTGACCTAGTTATTAGGATTGAACACAGTGAAGATAAGCATGTTTCTCCTTTTTATGAATATGATTGCAAACCAACTGCATCTGCTTTTCCGTGCAAACTTTATGTTGTTGGAGTAAATAAGTTTCTTGTCTGTCATGGTCTTGTTTTCTCAATTGGTGACTTCAGTCTCACTTTCCTAATGCCATTTACTGGAAAAAAATGCTTTGTATTGGTATGTTAAAAAGTAATGGAGCTCGGCTTTTCCATTTAAGATGGTTGTTACTAGCGTGTTAATACAGAAGGAGTTCCACAATACTGTGTGATCTTTTGTTTTTGTTTCCTGTTAACTGTATTGATTTCATTGGTTAGATTTCTAGCTGGCCTTTTCTTTAATTTGACTTTCTATTAAAACAAAAAAAAAAAAGATGGGAAAAAGACAGAAGAAGATCGAACTGCAATCGTTAGCTGCAAATTGAGAAGTATTAAAAAAATTATCGTTTTCAACTTTCCAATACTATGAAAAAAGAAGAAAAGGTCTAGCAGGAAACCAGGGACCATTGGATATTAGCTTACCTTTTATCCTCCCCAGATTTACATTAATTTTTTTCATTCTAATATTTTGTTTTTATCAGTAATGGATTTGTATGTGTCTTGAAGAAGTATCCATAATGTGTTTTTTTATATACATTTTTTTTTTCTTAAAGTTGACTATCCTCTCATGCTTTTTTATCAGCTTGTTATGGTTGTTGATTCGCGAGATCCACTGTTCTATCGTTGTCCAGACCTTGAGGTGAGTTTTTTTTTTTTTCCTCATAATGAAATGCTAACTGGACAACTCTATATATGGCTAGGCTTGTAGCAAATCTAACATAGTGGAAGATGTTGGACTGGATATTCTTTTGTGTAATGAGTTCAAAACAGTCAGGCATCTTTTCAGAATCTCTACTTCTATTCTTTAAAACATAGTAGCTTAATTTAATCTCCATAAAAAGTGTAACGAGCAGTAATAACATAGATTTGATCAGACATTGTAAATCTGTATAGCCTACTTTGGACCCTTATATTTATTTCTTTCTTTTAAGAATCACTATTGCGTGAGCCAAGCATGATTTGTTTTGCACCAATTTTATTTCGGGACAGGCTTATGCACGTGAGGTTGATGAACATAAACGAACATTGCTTCTAGTTAATAAGGCAGATCTTTTACCTGCTTCTATCAGGTTTGAATGTCCCATTCTCATACGAGGTTTAAACTTAAGCAAATAATTGGCCTTGGTTTTGTGTCTTGCCTCATTACTTGTCCTCCATTTTTTTTTTCTCTTTTGCTGCAGAGAGAAATGGGCAGAATATTTTCGAGCTCACGATATTCTCTTCATCTTCTGGTCTGCTAAAGCTGCTACCGCCACCCTGGAAGGCAAAAAGCTTGGTTCATCATGGGAGGATGATAACATGGGGAGAACTAACAGCCCAGACACAAAGATATATGGAAGGGATGAGCTATTGGCCCGTCTTCAATCAGAAGCAGAAGAGATAGTGGATAGGAGGAGGAATTCAGGCTCCTCTGATGCAGGGCCATCTGATTTTAAATCTACTGCTGAAAATACTGGTGGTAGTTCATCGCCGAGTAATGTAGTTGTGGGATTTGTTGGATATCCTAATGTGGGGAAAAGTTCAACTATTAATGCTCTGGTTGGTCAAAAACGGACAGGTGTCACCTCTACCCCGGGGAAAACTAAGCATTTTCAGACATTAATTATTTCTGATAAGCTTACCCTCTGTGATTGTCCTGGATTAGTTTTTCCATCTTTCTCAAGCTCAAGATATGAGATGATTGCTTGTGGTGTGTTACCTATTGATAGGATGACTGAACACCGGGAATCTGTCCAAGTTGTAGCTGATAGAGTCCCAAGACATGTCATCGAAGAGATTTACAAGATTAGGCTTCCTAAACCTAAGCCATATGAGTCCCAATCCCGTCCCCCTCTAGCATCTGAACTTTTAAGAACATACTGTGCTTCCCGTGGCTATGTTGCTTCTAGTGGACTCCCGGATGAAACAAGGGCTACTCGTCAGATATTGAAAGATTACATCGATGGGAAGCTGCCTCACTATGAAATGCCTCCAGGTACATCAAACGAGGAACAAGCTTTGGAAGATCCCACCAGACATGACTCAGTTGACTTGCATGCATCAGATTCATCTGATATTGAAGATTCTTCAGAAGTTGAGAGTGAACTTGCACCAAATCTGGAGCATGTATTGGATGACCTCAATTCATTTGACATGGCTAATGGACTTGCTCCAAAAAGAACAACTCTTAAGAAGCCCAAGGCATCTCATAAACACCATAAAAAGCCACAGAGGAAAAAAGATCGTTCATGGAGGGCAGGAAATGATGATGCTGATGGGACGCCAGTTACAAGATTCATTCAGAAACCAGCCAATACAGGTTATCGGAAGGATTGATAAGGCCTTATGATCTTGTTCTTGTACAACAGCTTGTGTTAAACTCGTTTATATTGTTAATACGAGGTTAAAGATAATGTTTGCTTGTGAGATATTACAGAAATATGACGTGAGCAATTTTACGTAAGCTCGCCCCCAAGGAAAAAAAAAGTTTTGGTAAATAATATTTGCTCTTATTAATTTAATGGGTTGAAAATGATGCCATAGGACTTGAAAATTAGGTCCTATTGTACTAGTATTAGTGATAGTTGGGTGCAATTATGTGTTTTCTCTGCATCTGTTTGCCAACTCATCTAGACGATTTTATAGGTTGCCCCATGTTCAGGACAATAAAACAATGTACAAGGCATTTTTTATTTTTCTCTTTACATATTGATTTTATTGGAGCTACTTTTTCAGGCTATAAATGTGTCATTTATAAGTTAGATTTCAAAACTTCTAAACACGACTTTGTTGAAATATAAGATTTTTAGGGTTTAGGCGTGTGGACCGTCCATGGTTGTAGTTTCTTTCGATCTAGATTGCCTCTTCGGATTTGGAAGTCATTTCCTTTCCACGTATTTAGTCAAAATTCGGCTGCAATTAGGCGTGTGTTACCCACGCATCGTCCTCTCTTTTTCTAAACGTTGTCGTGCCAACTTCGTGAGTATTGTCAAAACTTTCTCTTCTTGTTTTGACCTTAAAAACTTCATTTTGGCGAAAGTCTAAAAGTCATCCTAGCGACGAAGGTCATCTTAAGGTCTTTATGCTTTAGTTGTTTTTTGGTTCTCTATCAACAGAAATGACTACCGAGGTTGTTGTTTCTTTCTCTAGAAGTTCTTCCATTACTTTCGAAAAATTAAATGGAAAAATTACTTTTCGTGGGTTGTATCTGTCGAAGTATGGTTCTTTGGCCAATGTCATCATAACCACCTTGAGAAAGATGAAAATCATGTGTCTTTTGAAAAGGTTGATCGGTGGAAACAAATTGATTTCCAGCTGTGTGCCCTGTTATGGTAAACTGTGGAACCAAACTTTTGATTTCCCTTAAAGTCTTTAAAACTTGCCACCTTTTTTGGAAGAAAAGTTCAATACATTTATGCAAATGATATTTAACGTCTTTATAACATACTTGCATCTCTCAAATAAATTGACCATGATATGATATTCTTCATGACTGAAGCGAAATCTGCAGTTAAACAGCTAAAGATGTTCTTGAAAGTAGAATATTTGGATGAAATAAAAAAGAAACTTGATAAATATTATATGGTGATGATCCTCCGTACTTTACACCTAGACTTTGATAATATCTGAGATCAACTTCTTACTAGTCATGAGGTCCCTTCCATGGATAGCTGGACCACGCACTTCCTTCGAGTCCCAATGCCTCAAAGCAAGGAAGTTCATGAACCAGTAGAACTATCTGTCATGGTTGCCACATGAGGAAGAGGAGGATGTGACACTAGGGGAGACGTGGTGGCCAATGACATCCTCAGTGTACATACTGTAAAAGGATGGGTCACATCCAAAAAAACTATTTCTCCTTGCATGGTTTTCCTGACAAGACAACCAATGTCTTTAATGCTGCAACTGCCAACTCTAGATTCACTAAGGAAGAATATCAAGAGTATGTTAGGTTAAAATCTAACAACTTTGGCATAAACATCTGAAACTTCGAGTACATCAACAACTTGTATTTCCTAATCCATGGAAGGTCAAAATTCATGGATAATTGATTCAGGTGCTTCTGATCATATCTCTGGTAATACCTCTTTGTTCTCATCCTTTTCTTTTCAAGAAAAACATCAATTCATAACCCTAGCAAATGGTTCTAAAGTTTCGTCAAAAGGAGTCGGTCAAGTCTCCTTATTTCCTTCCCTAAATTTAAAATCTGTCCTTTATGTTCTTAATTGTCCCTTCAATTTAATTTCATTAAGTCAGTTAACCAAATCGTTAAATTGTTCAATAATATTTGATAATAAGTATTTTATTATATAGGAGCATGGTTCGGGGGGACGAATTGGAGAAGGATATGAAGCTGGAGGTTTATACCATTTTGGATCTAGTCCACATGTTTCCTGTGTTGCATCCTCAAGTCCTAAATTATTACATAAACGGTTACGTCATCTTCATTTGTCAAACTTAAAAAAAATGGTCCCCGAGCTTAGTAGTCTCTAGATCTTAGAATGTGAGTCCTGTTAATTAGGAAAACATGTTAGATCTACCTTTCCTAAAAGGTATGAAACAAGGTGTAATTATAGTTTCTCTACTATCCACTTTGATATTTGAGGATCTAGTCGCGTCTCTTCTTTTGATTTTAAATATTTTGTCACATTTATTGAAGAATACTTGATATGTATTTGAGTTAATCTTATGAAAGACCGTACTTAATTGTTATCTATCTTCACATCCTTTTTTAATGAAATCAAGAACCAATTCGGTCAAGTAATCAAAATTTTAAGAATTGATAATGTCAAAGAGTACTTCTCATCCAATTTTTCTACAGTCTTGAGTTTGCATGATATATTACATCAGTCCACTTATTATCACGCACCACAATAAAATGGTATAATAGAAAGGAAAAATAGACGCTTAGTTGAGATTGCTCATACCCTATTGCTTGGTGCCAATATTCCTGTCCATTATTGGGAGATGTCATCCTAACTGCATGTTTTCTTATTAATAGGATGTCGTCCTCCTCTCTCAATAATAATGTCCCTTTCTCCATTATTTTTCCAAATGATCATCTCTTTCACAGTTCTCCCCGAGTGTTTGATTGTGTATGTTTTGTTCATGACATGTTTCCAGGGTTGAACAAGTTGTCTGCTCGTGCGATCAAATGTGTTTTTTTGGGTTATTCTCAACTTCAAAAGGGGTATCGGTGTTACTCTCCTGAAACCAAGAAGTACTATATGTCTGCTAATGTTACATTCTTTGAATAAACTCCTTATTTTTCTTCATCCGTTCAAGATGTGCATGTCATTTAGTAAATCCTCCCTATACCATTAATCGAGTCCACTAATTCCAGTATCTCTGTTAATCCTAGTCTTGGTCAAAGTCCTCCTGCTATTGATATCCATGGGACCCAAATAACTAGTTTAGTTATCAAAGAATAAGGTGAATCCTCTAGTTCAGATTCTTCTCCATCGTCACCCAATACCACGACTCTCGATGAAGAAGATTCAGGCTAATCCATTGCTCTTAGAAAAGGTACTCGTTCCACTTGAAACTCATATCCTACTTATAATCTTCTTAGTTATCATCAATTATCTCCTTCCTATTGTTCTTTTTCTATCCTCAATGTCTTTTATTACCATTCCCAAAAATGTGATAGAAGCACTTGATCATTCTGGATGACGATAAACTATGATTGCAAAAATGCGGGCTCTTGACCAAAGTAATACTTGGGAGTTAGTTTCCCTTCCACTTGAAAAAAAAAAAAAAACAGTTGGGGTGTCGACTGGTTTATACCATTAAAGTTGGTCCTAATGATAAAGTCGATCGTCTCAAGACACGATTAGTTGCAAAATGGTACATTCAAATTTATGGCATTGATTATAGTGATACTTTCTTTTTAGTGGCCAAGATGACTACTATCTGCCTTTTGTTTTCTATGACATCAATTCGTCATTGGTCACTCCATCAATTGGATATCAAAAATGCATTTCTACGTGGTGACCTTGCATAGGAAGTATACATGAAGCAACCTCCTGAGTTTATTACTTAGGGGGAGTCTGGTAAGATTTGTAAGTTGTGTCGCTCTCTATGGTCTCAAACAATCACCACGTGCTTGATTTGGTAAATTCAACTCAATTGTTAAAAAATTTGGGCTAAAGCGCAGTGAAGCAGATCATTCAGTTTTTTATTGTAATACTTATTTTAAGAAATGTATTTACCTGATAGTTTATGTTGATAATATAGTTATTACAAGAAATAATGTGGCTGGAATATTTCAATTGAAGGAGTACTTGTGCAAATATTTTCCAAACCAAGGACCTTGAGTGTCTTGCATATTTTTTGGGCATTAAGGTAACTCGGTCAAAATATGAGGTTGTTATCTTTTAGAGGAAGTATGCTCTTGACATCCTACAAGAGACATGCATGTTTGACTGTAGATTAGTAGATAGTCTTATGGACCAAAATAAAAAACTAATGATGGAAGAAGGTGAATCATTTCCTGCTCGAGAAAGATATAGGCTGCTAGTTGGAAAACTAATTTATCTTACTATTACAAGGTATGATCTATCTTTTGTCGTTGGAGTGGTTAGTCAGTTCATGCATACCCCATGTATTGGTCATTGAAATGTCATCATTCGTATTTTAAGGTATCTCAAAAAGGCTTCAGGACAAGGTTTGTTATTTTAAGATAAAAGGAAATGTCCAAGTCTTCAAATATTATGATGCTGATTGGGCAGACTTCTCAACTGATAGACGTTCTACTATGTGATATTGTGTTTTCCTTGGACAAATTATTATCTCATGAAAAAGTAAGAAGCAAAATATAATGGCCAGATTAATTGCTGAAGCTAAATATAAGGCAATAACGTCTCTTGTGAACTTATATGAGTAAAATAATTCATTCGAGAGCTTAATTTTTGTGAAGTCTTATGAAAATGTATTGTGATAATCAAACTGTTTTCCACATCGTATCAAATCTAGTATTTTATAAAAGGATCAAACACATAAAAATTGACTGCCCTTTTTTCGGAAAAATTATTGTCCAAAGAAATTTGTAATGAGTTTGTTGGATTAAATGACCAATTTGCATATACGTTGACCAAGTCCTTAAGAGGATCTCAGATTGACTTCATTTGTTTCAAGCTTGGTACATACAATTTGTATGTTCCAGCTTGAGAAGAATTAAAATAATTATTAAATTTATGTGTAATCATTATGTATGAGTTTGAGATAGTATATTGAAAATATCTACCAGTTGTCCTACTGTTGTACCTAGTTTTGTATCTAGGTGTCTAATGTAACCTTAAATCTTTTATGTTCTCTTGTATAAATTTTTTTAATATAAATAGAAGATGATTAAGATGAGATTAAACCCTCCAAACTATATTTTTTTTATTCTTAACATTAAATTATTTTTTTAAGTTTAATTTCTTTTTTTTTTTATGTAAAATATTTACACTACTGGTTAAGAATAAAAAATTATTCCATCATTTACAAGATAAATTTTATATAAATTATTTATTTTTCCTTTTCTTCCAACAACTTTTTTTGATAGTTACATTCCAAGAAGTTTAATGTGATGCTCGTAGGTGATATTAAACAAAAATAAATCTGTAATTTCATGTCCATGTTAAATTATAACGGAAAAACTTTGTCGTGTGGCATAAATCATAATCATATAAAACGCGAATACGTACATAAAAACAAACAAGAAGTGATTGATTAAGTTAAAAGGTCTTAAAATAAAACAAGTTAAAAGTATAAGAAGATGATGATACAGTACTGATCTGGCATGCATCTTGGGCCACATGAGCTTGTCTATGAGATTCCACCTCACATGAAAACAATGAAAATGATGAACTGAAATGAAATAATTGAAGATAACCAAGCATATATTCCCCACCATACAAAGAACAAACCACGCTCTCAGTACTTCACTTCTATTGTTCACATTATTTCAGCTTCCCATTTTCACACCAACATTTAATCAAGTCCTCAATGTCAATTTTCCATGCCAAAAGTCGACTCATTTGGTGCCATGGGAAATTTTAGGTTTTTTAAACTATTAATTAAGTAATTAATATTCAGACATCAATGTCAAGTACATCATATCATTATTACTAAGTCAACATGGGTCTTCCAATAATTGCTAATTTCTGTTTATGGTGATCACAGCCCCAAACAAATCAGTAATTCTTACAGGTATCTTTTTTGTTCTTTAATATATAATGTTGTTTATGTAAAGTTAGTAATTTATAATACCATATATAAACAAAATATGAAAAATTCACCTATTTTACATGTATCAAAGTCCTGATTTAATTTTCACACAGATAAAATTGTAAATCCCTTAAGTTATATAATTATTAAAGTTCCCAATGAAAATGAATATAAGCAAAAACAAATTACAAATCCTTATTGAGTCTATCCTCAGTGGCAATAATTGGCATGACATAAGAAATGAGATAAGCAAAGGAATGGAGTGATGAAACGTGAGATTGTATTTGGTATAATAAAGTGGCTTTTCCAGAACCAGAAAGAATGTGTACTCATCTCAACACAAACACATGCCTCTCCAACACCATTAATGTCTTTGGGAATAAGGTTACCTTTCCACTCTTCAAAGGGTCCTTCCTCTCATTAAACCATTATCTCAACATTCCATTTGCCAATACTCATTTAATTCATTGAATTTTTTTAATAGTAAAATAAATTTTAGTCATATCATTCTTCATCTTTTCTATCAGATGTTGCGTATTATTTTGGCCATTTTCTCATAGACTTTTACTTCAACGTTTACTTGACATTAAAACTAAGTCGATGCTAATAATATTTTGTGTCATAAATAAATATTACAATCAAAGGATGCCAACTTATTTGTTACTAGCAGTGTTACTTTAATGTTAATATTCAAATCTGATATCTAAATTTTTCATGGTGCTTGTTTTAGTGTAAGTATTAGTTTAACAGAATGTTTAAATTTGATTATTTTGTGAATAATTTTTTTTTACTAGAAACCACTTTTAATTAATTATAAATAAATTCATTTAAATATATAGTAGATATGTTTTGTTTTTCAATGTTTACTTCTTGTGTTTTTCATAATTAATTCGTAGCTACTTCTTATATAGTCCCACTAATTATTATCTGATTTCTCTTGATATTAGTCGAAACGATTTGAGCTTGTTTTAATAACAATAAGTATTCTTAAGTTATTTTTTGATGTGAATAAGAAGATAACAAAATATTTTCAAACGTGCATTTAAGATACTTTATTCATAAATGATTAATTCAACGACATATCCTCTTTATATGAATTAAAGTAATTATACTGATTGAAATTATTTTTGTAAATTTAACTAAAATGTTTTCATATATATATATATATATATATTTTTTTTCTTAAAAGAGGGTCGTCAGTGATTTTTCCAAACTTATTATCTCTTCCAATTTATTCTATTTTTTTTTTCAAATCAAATTTTAATATTGTTCTGAAACTAATTTTATATCACGAAATAAATAACTTATTATAAATTTAAAATATAACTACATATAAAATTATTTATTATAAATTTATGTAAAATAAATATTTATTCCATAAATTATATAAGATAAAAATATATTTATTCTTTTTTTTTCGTTATTTTTCTCTCATTATATAATAAATAAATTTTCCACTCCTTAAACATAAAGAAAATATATTTTTTCTAAAACGGCGCGTGGTGTCACCTTCCATTTGTTTTGGCACAGCAATGCGAAAAAGAAACAGAATGGTCTTACCTTAACTAACTGAGTTGTGTTTGTATTAAATGAATCCCCGGTTGTCCCGGTAACTATCTTCCGTTCTCTGTTCTGTCGCCGCCTCCAATTTGTTCCGTACGACCGCCCCTGCCGGTCACCAACTACACTCTTCGTTCCTCTACACAATCAAACAACGGAATACCGAATAATTCAATATCAATTAATCAATAAATAAATACATATATCCGTCAAAATAATATAATAAATAATATAATGTTACTTTATTAGAAAAAGATTAGAAAGCCAGAAAAAATAAAAGTAGAGAGAGAAAGACACGATCCCTTTTTGTATAAGAGAAAGATTTTTATTTTTTCCTAATTTTTTTATTAATTTTATTTTTCTGCTTTGGGTTGCGATTGTGTGTGAGAATTCAGATTGCTCCTCCGTCCCGTTTCGTTTCCTTCACCACTTCTTTCATTTCTCTGTTTTTTCGCACGGACAGAGGGCGAAAATACAGAGAGAGAGAAAGAGAAACGAATAACCTAATCGAATTTTCATCTATTTTCGGAAAATTTGCGTGCGTGAAAATCTTAATTTTAATTTGACGAGCGGAGGATCTGAGTTAGGGTTTTCAATTCTAATTTTTGAACCGAATCGAAATGTTGGCTCGGGACGCCGCTTCGCGGGAATTCTAGCTCCGATCTTAGGGGAATTGCTCGAATCTTAGGGTTAAGAAATGGACGTTGATTCCTCGATGGTGCCGGAGACCGATCACGATCCGGTGGTGCAGAACCATGCCGAAAGAGACCAGTTAGGAGAGTCGCAGACTCCGACTCCGCCGCCGTTGTCGACGGGAGGGGGATCTCCGGCTCAGTCACCATCGCAACAGCAGCAGCCGGCGACGGCGGCTCAGGTGCAGCATAGTCCGGTGGTTGGTCCGAGGCTCGCGCCGACTTACTCAGTGGTGAATGCAATTTTGGAGAAGAAGGAGGACGGGCCAGGACCGCGGTGCGGCCACACGTTGACGGCTGTGGCGGCCGTCGGAGAGGAGGGGACGTCGGGGTACATTGGTCCAAGGCTGATTTTGTTCGGTGGTGCCACTGCGCTTGAAGGGAATTCCGCGGCGTCAGGGACTCCTTCATCCGCTGGAAATGCTGGCATACGTATGTATTTTATTCCCTTTTCGTCTTTTCGTGAAGGCAATAACGTAACATAGATGCAGCTGCTGAGTGTTTTGAATTTTGGTTTTTTAGTTTGATTAGAATGTGGAAATTTATGCTTCGCGCTTTGTATGCAGGCATATATGTATTTTTCTAGTTATTATAGATGTTTACAGACGAAGGCTTCGATTGCGTTGTTGATTAAGGTTATGGAAATGCAAAAGGAAACAAATTAATAAAACAGCAAGATTGGTAAAAAAAATTCCATAGATTCTCAACTCATTTATTGCATTATAGTGTGCCCAAGATGAATGAAGTATCCAAAACAAGGTTTATGAGAACCATAGTAAAATTGGAAGTTTATAGTTCATTTTAAAACATTTCCATTTGCATGGCTTTCTGCCTCTTTTTAGGGGGCATGTAAAAGGTAACATTTCATTCTATTAGCTGTCTTTGATTCCTTATATAATGTGTCTGATCCATTCCAATCCAATATATGTTTACTCCATCATCCCTATATGTTTTTTTATGAGCCAGAATTTTGTTTCACTATCAGTTACATCTTCACCAATTGCTGGATTGGGGCAATGAACCCCATTCCTTTTCTGTGGATTATGGAATATTGTCGTTGTCTGAAGCTATGAAGCTCAGATACATGAAAAAACGGTAAATTTATTGGTGTAATACCCATATCTAATATCTGATACCAACATTCTAGATAAAGTAGTCAAGGAATATCCTTCAACTTTCTTTCAATTTTATTTATTTTTAAATTGAATCGATTGATGTTTGGGATGTGGTTCTGCAACTTTGAGTAGAAATCAATTATATAGTTGTATCTTTTCGACAATATTCATAAAGCTGTTGGCAATTATATAAAGCTCAGACTTCTTTTGAATAATACAAATGATACAACTTGTCACATTCTAACATGGGTTATGGAAAAATATGTAAATTCTTATGAAGGGTCGATGGAAAAATATGTACCTATGATTTTATATTCTTTTGCACAATCACAAGTTTTTTTTTATTGCTCGTAAATTATGACCATCATCCCCAGATATAGTCTTGAATTACTGAGAATATCAACATCTCTTACAAACTTTAAGCATTTGCACGAGGTTTTTTAATTTTAATTTTTAATAATTCATGCCATCATATCTAGCCAACAAATTATATCTTGAAGTATTGCATCCATGTTGCTTGAAGTATTCCTTTTCTCATAGTGCTTCTCTTGCTGTTGTATGTATACTTGTATGTTTTTTGTCGAGCTGCTGATTGTGATGTATCATGGACACATTCGTTTTAGTCCTGAAAATCTTGGTATTCCAAAAACGAACCTGTCATATCTGTCAAGAGATGGTTATTTGCATATTGGCTCTTTATTTTCTGAATACTTGAATATCTGGTCTCTCATGAATTGCAGCATGAAGTAGTACTGATAGTTAATTAACCTAAATTATAGAACATGGTTGGTTGTTGCTGTTTCTGTTATGATTATTTTCTTTTGAATAACAAGCAGATTAACAAAGAAAAATAAAATTCAGATTAAGAATGTTTTGTTTGTCATGTAGGCCCAAGTACATTGTTTAAGACAAGCAACGCAACCCATTTCCACATAGTTGGAAATGCCTTGCTATATATCATAAGTTAACTGTTCAACATCTGTACATCATTTGAAGCTTCATACAATTCGTGTATTTCTTGAAGTTCAAGCTATTTAAGTAGAATGATTTTCTTTGTTTCTGGTGCAAGCCAATGTCAGAAACTAAACACTGAAGTAAAAACTTGATTGGGTGCAACCGTTCCTAATTTAATGGGAATTTGTATCATATGTCCATTGTGTGAGGGATGCTTCAAGAAAAAGAATGATTTTGTCTGCATTTGTTCATTCTCTCCTCCCCCTTTGTATAAGCACTGATATTGATTGGATTGGTTAGTACTTATGGTTGGAATTTGTGATGATTGGTACATTTCATTTGCTCTGCAGGTTTAGCTGGAGCCACCGCTGATGTCCACTGTTATGATGTCATAACTAATAAATGGTCTAGGTAAGCTCATAACTAGGTTCTTCTTTTCAGCCTTTGTTAAGGTTTAAGTAATGCTTGTATAGCGTTGTGTACTTTGTTTCAGTGCTTATCAGGAAATTTTAATGCAGGATAACTCCTATAGGTGAGCCTCCAACCCCTAGGGCTGCACATGTGGCAACTGCTGTGGGAACAATGGTAGTTATTCAGGTAGTGTGGAGAGTTTATCTCTTAATTTATCTAATTATTGGTTAATTTATTTCTATTAATTGAGTATCATATATCTTACTGGAGTATTTGCACCATATAACAGGGTGGCATTGGTCCTGCTGGTTTGTCTGCAGAGGATCTTCATGTTCTTGATCTCACTCAGCAACGACCACGATGGCATAGGTTAGATAGAATAGTAAACTATGTTTGCTTTCCCTCGATAACGACGTTCATCTGATATAGTGGGTTCTGAATGTCATTTAGAGTTGGTGTTCCTGGCCCTGGACCAGGGCCACGCTATGGACATGTTATGGCTTTGGTGGGGCAGAGGTATCTAATGGCTATTGGAGGCAATGATGGTAACTACACAAGTTCTCCCTCTTACATTGTTCATATTGGATGTTTCCTATAAATGTAATTTTATTGGATGTTAACTCATTTTATCCCTGCTTTCCAGGAAAGAGACCTTTGGCTGATGTATGGGCTTTAGACACAGCTGCCAAGCCTTATGAATGGCGCAAGTTGGAGCCAGAAGGAGAGGGTCCACCTCCATGCATGTAATTTGTCCATGAAACTTAACCCTTCTTTACTAATATGTTGACTTTACTACATATTCTCGCACGTGTGTGTGTGTAGAGAGAGATAGATACATAGAAATAAATACAGATAGATAAATAGATAAGAATGTATATATGTGTGTGTGTTGTCATGGACTAGGTTCTGACAGGCATTAGGGCAGCTTTTTCTTGTTCTGTAACCTTTGATATCTTGAACTGGGTCTGATGGCAAACATTAAATGATTGTAATTGAGTTGAACAAATTTAAATCCTACATGTCGGTTGGTTTGTTAGATTGACATGCCTATGAAGATTTAGATGTATTGGTTTGTCTGACTGATATGCTTTGGGTTTAAATTTATTTTCAATTGTGCTTTTCTTCATATCATATTATTTGCCACAGTTTTGAACTATTTACATGCCCTGGGTTTGTTCCTAATGTGTTCTTTGTTCTACCTATCTCCCTCTTCCCCATCCCGTACAAAATTGGTAACAACTGAATTTTCTCATTAGTTCTGCCATGTTAAGCATGCTATTCTTTGGTTTAGTATTGCATTGTATATTTGTTGATCGCTGCTTTATTCTTTCTTCAGCTTGAGAACTTTTTCATATTAGAGTAGGATTGTCTTTATATTGGGTTTGCTCTTATAGTTTGATGATACTGAGGTTGTGCTATATTCGGATGGAGAGTGAAATATTAAATCCTACATTATTGTGTAATGGAAAAGGCTCCTCTAAAACAACTTTGTATTTAAAGTTGTACACTCCTTTAATTTAATAAATTATATTGAAATCTTAACTGACTAAATGATGTAAGGGTCTCACTTTGGTGTCAAAACCACTATAGGGGAGGTTTTAACTTTTATTGTTTACCTTATCAATCATGACACTTTTTGCTAGTGTTGCTTAGCATTAATAATATATTCTGTTTGTGGAATGAAATAAGATCGCTATTGCAGTGTTTTTATTGAGCGCAATAGTGTACTATAATATCCTTGATGATGTTATGAAATAACTCAAAAACTTTCCTTGTCTTTATTTAAGTTATCTATAATTTTGTGCTTGAATTTTTACAACTTGGGGTTGAGTTGCTGTTTTGTCATTTACTATAGGTATGCAACTGCCAGTGCACGTTCTGATGGGCTTCTTCTGCTATGTGGAGGGAGGGATGCCAATAGTGTTGTGAGTTATCTATTCAGACATTCACTTTCTCATTGTATTGAATTGAATTCAGTAGGAATTTTCTGGTATGAATTTACAATAGTTTGTCATTGATATCACTCTTATTTCCATTTTTGCCCTTGGGGCTTGCCTATATGGTGGCCCATCCACTTTTCTTAAGCTACTAAGGTAGCTTAATATTGTTTTCTCAACTCATAATAATTTGGTCCCTGCATGCCTGGTTATATAAGGAAATATTATGACAGAGAAGTAAACTGGGGCAAGGATGAGGTATGGTCAAGAGTTGAAAAAAGAAGCAAAAACAAAACAGAGATACTAGGATTGTAGCAGGTTACAGGACAGTCAATTTCTTGTGCAGATTGGGTTGATCCAAAGAATGGTGATTGCCTTACAATTCTACATAAATAAGTGATGCTCTGTTTTTGTGCTTGACTTGCGTGTGAAGCACATCAAGGGAGATAGCAATGTGAGGCTTGCAATTTAGTGGAAAATAACATCTTAATCCTGTTGAACTGCTGTTTGAAATATAACATTGAGAGAACTTTGGACTTTCAGTCAATTTTGTCTAGGAAAAATCTTAGACATTTAGGGAATAAGTGAGAAACTGGAGAGTATAAAAAAGACAATAATTCAGAAGTGTGCAGAGTTCAAACCCTTGTGACAGAATAGGTGCAGAAGCAAGTAGATTCAAGTGAATTAAAAAAAAAATGATGGATACTTAACCTAGCCTACATCTATTACTGAAGGTTTTTTCATCTTCCTAAAATCCCAATACAAAGAGCAGTATGGCTTGTTCAAAAATTGTTTGTGGGCTATTATCAAAAGTAGAAAGATCACATGGTCAAGCTCACATATTCCTCCTAGGCATCATCATAAAACTTCATTTGGGTGCTGTCATGTTGATTTAGAGTGACCAGTTGTCTGAAAGAAATATAGGAGATAAGCATCCATGGATTAGTGTGAGTAGAGGTAATCATTGGATTGATATCTCCACCCATTCTGGTATAAACTGTATTTACTCTTTCTTGATATGTAATAATGTGCTTCCTTATAGATGTATACTTTGAAGGAAACAGATCCATAACCTCAATAGCACTTCAGTTTTTCAAAGTGCAGCACAAAATCCAACAATTAGCAACATAATTACTTTGTAGATCACACTCCCTTGATCAAGCATAGTAGTCTCTGTTAATTTTGTCCACTGTTTTAACCTCTCCATTCAGAACACACTATTGTTGAATTGAATCTTGGTACCCCACTCATTTAATCCTAAAATCTGACTTAGCCATATATAGGGTTGCTACAGAATCTGCTGATAAATAGTTGAATATTTTCTTGTTGATATTTAAATTGGAGTGAATGACGCTAGATAATACTTTTGGCAGTAACCTGTTGAAAAATCCAAAAACTATACAAAATCTCTAAATTACTCAGGCAGGCTATCACCTGCAAGTAAATATTGGACACTTAAGGCTATTTTATGTTTGACCATTTATCAATTTCTGCTTTCCATTTTCTTATCAACAAACACTAATTGGTGTATTCATGTAATTCTGTTTAATTTTGTTAAATATTTTTATGTGACCCTTGTGAATTGCTTATTATAACCTTCTGACCATATGTTCTTTCCCTCTTGCCCTTGCCCGAATCTTATATTACAGCCATTGGCTAGTGCATATGGACTTGCCAAGCATCGAGATGGTCGTTGGGAATGGGCCATTGCTCCTGGTGTCTCACCATCTCCGAGATATCAACATGCAGCAGTATGACTTAGTTTCTTTTACTTCTATATATTTTTCTTAGTTGGTAATTTATAGCAAGGATTGCAATTTACTTGTTTAATGATTCCAGGTATTTGTTAATGCAAGGCTCCATGTGTCTGGTGGGGCCCTTGGAGGAGGACGGATGGTTGAAGATTCGTCGAGTGTTGCAGGTACTAGATTTGGGGGTTGCTAAGCTAAGAATTTGCATTTGACTGGTTTATCTTTGCCGTGTTTGATCTTGGGTAAACAGCAGAGGTGTACCAGATGGAAAAAATTAATGGCTTAAAATATAGTAACATACATGCAATTGCATGACAAATCATGAAGTTGTTAAAATTTATGCCTTTTTAATTTTAGATCAACAGTTACTGACTCTGTACTTTATCAGTGTATCCCTCGCTTTAGAAAAGTTAAATCTTTTACAAACTAGTTATTTGCCTTTATGCCCTCTCTTCCTATATTTGTGTAAGTATATTTTCATTTTTTGACAGAAGGATGACCTTACCTTTGGTGAAATTGAGAAAGAGAATATTCCTGTGGAAATCAGGATGATCTGTTATAATAAGCAATAACAAATACTTTTGAGGTTTCATTACTGTTGTAGCTACTATTTGTCGGGTTGCTTGCTGGTGCCTAGTTGCCGCAGTAGCATTTAGTTTTCTTTTTTATGGTAATTTCTTTTGTATGCAAAATCAAGATTTATTGTTATGCCAATAAGTGTTGCATTTTGAAGTATTTCTATTGTTTTTTTGCTATTTGTAGTGTTGGACACTGCTGCTGGTGTTTGGTGTGATACAAAATCTGTTGTTACCAGTCCAAGAACTGGAAGATACAGTGCTGATGCAGCTGGTGGAGATGCCTCAGTTGAGTTGACTAGGCGGTGTAGGCATGCTGCTGCTGCTATTGGTGACTTAATTTTCATTTATGGTGGTTTACGTGGCGGTAAGTCTTAAATTTAATTTTCTGTGAATTCATCTAAGTGGAACTAATATCCTATTTGCTTGACCATGCATGATTGCTTATCAATATCAATGTTGTTCATTAGATCAGCTTGCTTTATGATTATAATTTAGTTACTTTACTGTATTTTATTTACATGTTTATCTTGCTTAATACTTTGGATGAATTTATTATTATTATTTTTGTTTGGCCACTGAAGCAATTGGTATAGAATTTAAGTATTTTCTACTACAATACAAATTCTTAATTGGTGCTAGGAGAAGAGTTGGAGATTGAAGCTTAGGAAATAGCTCAAATCACATGATTACCTTAACATCTCTTAGAATGTGGATTTGGCTTAATTAAACCTCACAAAATCAACATGTAAAGTGAGATTTGTACTCTATTTATATATTTTATTTTACAGAAATGATATTTTGACCACCAAGTTCCATACAACTCCTATAAACAACTCTCTTTTAATATTATAATAATAATAATAATTTTAATTTTTTTTATTAAATCATTCTATAGATTATTATATTAATAAAAGTGAGTTGTTTGGATGGTTGTATGATTATTGAGCTGTCAAAATATCACCTCTCTTTATTTTAACCATAATGATAGTCAATGCGGGATCTCTAATATACTCCCTTAAGCCAAGGGTTGTACATCTTGAATGTGAGACTAAATATTTCAAATGGTCTAATTGTGGTCCAATAGCGGGTTGTATGATAGCTCTAACAACTTCGCTAGGATAATATTTAATATCATATTAGGAAGGAGATTTCAACTTAATTCAATTTTACAAAAATAACCTGTAAAATGAAGTTTGCATCCCGATGATATATTCTATTTTGACCATATATTAGGCAATGTGAGATCTCAAGCATGAGACTAGATATTTGCGAAAGATTCCGCATTAACAAGATACGCGGTCAAATTATAGTATATTAATAGGAGCAATTCTCGCCATGTTATTTAGTTCCACCTGATATCAAACCTTATTATTGTGTCACCTGATATCAAACCTTATTATTGTGTCATCTGATATCATACCAATTTCATGCGCGATATGTTCAGTCCTCAAGGTTGTGTTGGAGATCATATATTAATTAGAGAATGATCAAATTATAGTATATAAGTAGGGAACAATTCTTACCGTATAGATATATTTCTTAGTTTTTTACTATTCTTTTAGACTGATTCTGTGAGGTATCTCTCTCTCTCTCTCTCTCTCTTTTAGAATGACTCTCTTATGTTAGTTAGTTGTAACTGACACGATCAGTTAGTTTTAACACCTATCAGTGATAATTCTCTGGTTCTTCAATCATGACTTTTGTAACAAGAAATTCTTCATCTATCAACGGATTCTTCTCATTGAGTATCAATAATTGTTTATTTCTATCTATCTTAATATGGCATCAAGAGCCACTTGATCCATGACTTACGAAAATCTTAATTTTGATCAGCTACATCTTTAACTAGCTGTTTTGAAGAATACGTCATGACTTTTGTAACAAGAAATTCTTCATCTATCAACGGATTCTTCTCATTGAGTATCAATAATTGTTTATTTCTATCTATCTTAATATGGCATCAAGAGCCACTTGATCCATGACTTATGAAAATCTTAATTTTGATCAGCTACATCTTTAACTAGCTGTTTTGAAGAATACGTTGAGTTGAGAAGAGCACATCTAGACTGTTGAGAGAAACATTGGGGTTATTACTATTCAAGTAGGTTTACTATTGGCCTAGGCTAGACATGAGTGAACATTTTGAGAGATAATTCCAATTAACACAGTTGCAAAAATCTTTATTTTGGATCTAAGATAACTATATTATTTCAAGTTTGAACTGTTGTTGAGCGTGGCCAGTCACTTATTTCTTTAATCTTGCAAGCTGAGATGCTTGTTCTTGTGCTTGCTTTGGTATTATATACTGTGGTGAGTTCTAATTTTTTTGCTTGATGTGTATGACTGACCATGATGTATTCTTTATGCTGTAGGGGTCTTGCTGGACGATTTACTTGTTGCTGAAGATCTTGCTGCTGCTGAAACAACAGCTGCTGCTTCACATGCAGCAGCAGCAGCTGCATCTAATGTTCAAGCTGGACGATTACCTGGACGTTATGGTGGATTTGTTGATGATAGGACGAGGCAAACCATGACTGAAGCAGCTCCTGATGGTGCAGTTGTTTTGGGAAATCCAGTTGCGCCCCCTGTAAATGGGGACATATATACTGATATCAGCACTGAAAATGCCTTGCTCCCAGGATCTAGGTATGACAGATTTTATCATCTGAAAATATCTTTGGGTGAAGTATTAAATTGTTGCTTTGGATTTGTCATTCATTTGAAGAATTTTGAACAGGCGAACAAGCAAAGGAGTTGAGTATCTAGTTGAAGCATCAGCTGCTGAAGCTGAAGCTATTAGTGCCACACTGGCTGCCGCCAAAGCACGGCAAGTAAATGGGGAAGTTGAATTGCCTGACCGAGATCGTGGGGCTGAGGCAACACCTAGTGGGAAACAAATATCTTCCTTGATTAAGCCTGATTCTTCTGCGTCAAATAGCATTCCTCCTGGTGGAGTGAGGCTGCATCACAGAGCTGTGAGTAATACATTAATTTTAGCTCGATCAAAAATTATTGTGGGTCACGAATTACATTGACGTAGAAGCCCCATGTCCATTTTCTGGATTTTTCTGCAGGTTGTTGTTGCTGCAGAGACTGGTGGAGCATTGGGTGGCATGGTTAGACAGCTTTCAATTGATCAGTTTGAGAATGAAGGCAGGCGGGTCAGTTATGGGACTCCTGAAAGTGCAACAGCTGCTAGGAAATTATTAGACCGGCAGATGTCTATCAATAGTGTCCCAAAGAAGGTACTTATCTCTTTAATATTTAAAATTAATTAGATTATTCATCCTATTAATATTAGAAAAAATGTTTAATGTTCTTCCACTATAGCATTTTCTACACTATAAATAATAGGTTGCCATATTGTTGAAAGCATTTGAGCTAATAGTGGTTATAATGCTCAAACTTTTTTATGATGCATGTGAATACTGAGAACACATTCTTAGATAACAGAGTTTAATTTTTGTACTTCCAGAAGACCAAGATTAAATTCTATTAGAATAAATAGTATTTTATTTATTAGTTAGGCAATCGTAGTGGATCAGGTGCGCTACATCTCTATATCTAATTGGTTTAAAATAGCACGAACTACTAAAACTTATCCACTTGACCTTTAAAATCTGGTTGTGTCATGAGTAGAGTCAGGTACAGAGCATTTGATAAGTCTTGTTCATTAACCTTCCTTTTGTTGGTATTAACTAATAACTACTGTATTACATTCACACCCCTTTAGTGCATGGCAATATCTTAAATGTGTGGTGTTGAATGTCTCTGTAGGTTATTTTGTAACTATTATATTGAAACACTCAGCATGTTGGCTTTGAGTTATGTCCAACTTGTTTCTTATTCAGTTTCTGGACCTTCTTTTATAGGTTGTAGCTCACCTCTTAAAGCCACGTGGCTGGAAACCACCAGTTCGGCGACAGTTTTTCTTGGACTGCAATGAAATTGCAGATCTTTGTGATAGTGCAGAACGAATATTTTCAAGTGAACCGAGTGTTTTACAGCTTAGGGCTCCAATTAAAATATTTGGTGATTTACATGGGCAATTTGGAGATCTCATGCGCCTCTTTGATGAGTATGGTGCACCGTCAACTGCTGGTGACATAGCGTAAGCTCCTTAGTTCCTATGGATTGTTTTATATTTGAATGCGAATGAAGGATAGTGTTATTATGTGCCACTAATGTTATTTATTATTATGGCATCTGTCTCCTATTTCTAGTCATAGCCTCTGGGTAAATAAGTATTTATCAAAGCGTGTCTAAGCATGATTGGTAACAAATTAAGATGTCAAAAACTACTAAAGCCTGCTTTTAATTATTTGTGCAGAGGATTTGCTTTCATAATATGTCTTGAACATCTGTGGAGTCCAACTGTATGAGTGTTAATGAATGTTTTTAAAATCAGACCTACCGTTGGACTTGTACAGGCACTGATTGACAGTTCATTGGTTCAATTGTGGTTGAAGTAGAGTTGAATTGCTAACATAAAATATTTATTTTGTTAGTATTATAATAAATTAAGCAATATACTATTATTTGATAAATGTGTAAATATTAGAAAAGTTCTTATATATTGTTAAATAATAGAAAAATGTTTAAATATCATACATGAGCCTTTATAAATTTAATAAACGTTTTAGAATATTTTCTAAATTAATAAAGAAAAAGAATAAGAATTTTTTTCTGAAAAGACCAGTTCAAATATGTTTCTGAGATGGTTCTTACCCTTTTACTGGTTTTCTGCTCCACCAGATTTTTTGGGTTCTGTTCAATCCAATGATCTGACCTTCTCAAGTCAACCAATTAAACTTACTTTGCTGGTCCATTTTTAATAGCTATGGCACTTTATTAATTTTTGTACACCTGTAACAATTATGGGAAAGTATGATGTAAATCCATCGTTTTTATAGATAATTTTTTTTATTCTCTAAATAGGATTTGTCCTGGGCTTAGGTTTCTAGTTACAAGATAGATTGATTCTTAGGTTTGGTTTATATAAACAATGAACTCTTATATTTTTATGTTGATCTGAGAGTTTCTAATTATAGAGTTACAGAAGAGAATAAATAATTAGTGTGTTTTTTCCCTTCCCCCATGACTGTCTAGAATTACATTTTTTGGACTGTTTTAATTAGTTATTTAGGCATTTAAAAATTCCTCTAATGTTACTTTTGTATAAATGACTATCAGATACATCGACTATCTATTCCTCGGAGATTATGTTGATAGGGGTCAACACAGCCTGGAAACTATTAGCCTTCTGCTTGCTCTGAAGGTACACTGGATGCATAGTTAGTCTTTTATTGTTGTTTGACAAGTTTCATGGCATCACTTTATCTGTGTTTTGGATTATGCAGGTTGAGTATCCAAACAATGTACATTTAATACGTGGAAACCATGAAGCTGCAGACATTAATGCCCTTTTTGGTTTCCGAATAGAGTGCATTGAGAGGATGGTAAGGAATTTTATATTGCATATGCTGGACAGTATTTTCTATTCTTGTTTGTTACTCAAGGAACTTGTGTAATTTGCTGATAGGGTGAGAGAGATGGAATTTGGGCATGGCACCGAATAAACCGTCTGTTTAATTGGCTCCCTCTGGCAGCTCTGATAGAGAAAAAAATTATTTGCATGCATGGGGGTATTGGTCGTTCAATAAACCATGTGGAACAAATTGAGAATATTCAGCGCCCAATTACAATGGAAGCAGGATCAATTGTGCTCATGGATCTATTGTGGTTGGTGGATTTTGTATAATCATCATGTTTGTGATAATTTATTTAATGTTCTTTCCGAAGAATGACAAATGAATTGTTTCTCCAGGTCTGACCCTACAGAGAATGACAGTGTGGAAGGGCTGCGGCCAAATGCTAGGGGTCCAGGATTAGTTACATTTGGGGTTAGTTGTTATTTGGTATTCTGTAAAACCATTGGTATTTTGTTTTAGTTTCCTGGAGAATAATATAAAGAGATTCTGGATTTGATATTTACAAGAGTTTAATTTTATTTGCTGTCATTGCAAATATTTTTACATCGTTAGCCAATTAAAAGAGACCCCAGATATGACTTCTAAATTAATTGTTATGAATTTCAACAATCATACCATACTTGACGATGTATGATTGGATGATGGTGACTATGAATAAAATCTTAACAATGTCAGTAATTCTAATTCAATTTGTAATACTGATCAATGCAGGTTTTTTTATTTTGTTTATTATTTTATTTTTCACTTTCTTGAATTTGATAAATTTTTAATGCTCATGTATTAATTGTTTTATTATTCTAGAAAATTCATGTTGAGGTATTAGTAATCTCTTAATTTGTATGTATCATTTGAAACTCTTCTAATAAATTGTGCAATGTTTATGTTCTGAAACTTCTGTACTTGGAACATGCATTTTCGACAATTATTTTCGCGGCTATGCTTGATAGTTGAAAAAACTACAAATTTGATAAGGCTTTCATATATTAGTGATGTGGTTTGTATTTGCAATACCGCATGTCTCAAATTTTATTTATTCCCTTCCCTTTGCTGACATTATCGTTAAGGCCTACACTTGATAACTCCTCCAATTGGAAGACTACTTTTTATGATGGATATTATTTGTATTGTTCTGCCTTCTTGTATGTTGTCTATGTTTTCTTAATTCATAAACTCGTATATATGATATTGCTCATCTAAATGGGTCTTACTCTTGCAGCCTGATCGGGTCATGGAATTTTGCAACAACAATGATCTTCAGCTGATTGTTCGTGCACATGAATGTGTGATGGATGGCTTTGAGCGATTTGCCCAGGGACATTTGATCACACTTTTCTCTGCGACAAACTACTGTGGTATTTGTTACTGGGCCTTTTACATTGCACTTTCCCCTAAGATGGTAAATTATCCGTTCTAAATTTTGGCACTTTATTATTGGCTTGCCGATAGGTACCGCAAATAATGCTGGGGCGATTTTAGTTTTGGGTAGAGATCTTGTTGTGGTTCCTAAATTGATTCATCCATTACCACCAGCAATTTCTTCCCCAGAAACTTCACCTGAGCGACATATTGAGGACACATGGATGCAGGTATTATTCATTAAATGGTTGGCACGCTCTTAGTGCTGTGTGATATTGCACTTATTAAATAGTTACGTTCATGTCTAAGTCAATTTTGAGCTGATCATTAGTATTATGGGACTAAATTTATACTTCTCCAGTTTTCCTTTTTGTATTCATGCTTTTTAATTTTGGGTTGAAACGTATGTAGGAGTTAAATGCCAACAGACCACCAACGCCAACTAGAGGCCGTCCTCAAGTAACAAATGACAGAGGTTCTCTTGCTTGGATATAGTGATTATTAAAGAATACCCTTATTGTTTATGCCTTGACGGCTTGTGCTATCGCCTGAATTTCCGGTGTTACATATATAGCATGATGCCATTTACGGGGTATTGGACCTTGTGATCTGATACCGGCAGAAAGCTTGAAGGACCAAGCTTTTCTTTGTCCTGGTTCTCACCACTCAATCATCTGGCATGTAGAAGATACAAGTTCGAGACACAAAGTTGGTAGCCACTGCTAGGTTGGTTCACGTTGACAAAGCTTGAAGTTGCAGTTTGCGTTCCCACCCACATGTTGTAAATTGAGCCGTAGGTACAAAATCAAGGTCATGGATGTCTGCGTCATGGATTGTTAGTGCTGGTTATTATTTTCATTATTATTTTTTACATATTTTTTACTCATCGTCCCTAGGTTATTGTTTTTCAATTTATATTTTAAATGAAGAGGACAGGGGTTTCTTTTCTCTTTTCCTGTGATGGTGAGATATATAAAATCAGAAATCTTTCTTGGGGGTTTCATGTATCATAGGTGTTGCTTTGTTTCCCATCCATGCTCTGTACAACTAATTTTTGTGTGAATCAACATATTCTGACAGAGAAATGTGAATTTTGAGAATAGAATTTTGTATATTGCCTTGTGCTGCAAATAGTTTAGTAAAGCAAATAATCCTGCAGTTAGCTGAAAATGGGGAAATCCTGTCCAGAATGGTGCAGTCGCAGAAACGTGGATCAATAAATTTCGTTGAAATCACCACCAGCTAATGGATTTTAAAATAATTAAATCAAAATTATTACTAAATAAAACCAGAATAGCATTGTCCATAAACCTACGTATAACACATTTCATCCCTCTGACTGCTAACTATCCATTAAAAAAAGAAAGAAATGTATAAATTAAAGAGATTTGTAATACTTTTATTTATGAGTGCTGATATTTTAATATTATATTTTATAATATTGTTTATTAATATTATATCATAAAATGATTGATTTAAAATAAAATTAATTAAAGATTATTATTATTAATAAATAAAATTATTGAATAGATATTTGTGGATATTGAATTGTCAATCTATCTTTTTTTCTTTATTTCTCTCAGCAGTACAGTCGAAATATAATTGATTATGTGCTTCCGTACTTACGCTTCAATTGTAGAAGGCATCTAATAAATATATCCTTACAGTCTCAAGTAGCACGTTTTAATGGTTCCGAAGAATTATGACTATCTCAATTATTTTTTACTTAATTTATATTTATATAAATAATATATAATATAATATATTTAATTTATATGTTAAATATATTTGGCATCCTAATATTGCTTCCGGCAATGACTCCGATAAATGTAAATGCAAATTTTAAAAAATATGATTTAATTAAAAAATATTATTTATGATAAGTTTATTGGTTATTATAATAACTGTTCAATATTTTTCTTTATATTTTTTTTAAATTATAATTTAATAGGTGTGACCGTGTAACTATCGTTTTATATATATATATATATATATATATATATATATATATATATATTATTGTGTCTTAAAAAAAATTCAATTTGCATGTGAAACAAAATTTTTATACATGATCTCTAATTAATTTTTAAAATAATGTTTAAATTTAATTTAATTCATATTTAATCATCCTTTATTTTTGTTTCATACTTATTCTCATATAATTTTAACAAATATATTCAGGTAATTTATTAAATTACTTACTCATTATATATTTTTTTCAAATCAATAAAATCAATTATAATTTTTACACCTTTTTTTTTCTCTTTCTAATCTATTTATCTTACTCTGAAAATCTTTATTTTTCATTCTAATTTTTCTCTTTATTTTCTTTTTTTCACTTTTAAGACTAATTCAATAAGAACATAATTTCGAAGGGTAAAAAAATAAAATAAAAAAGTAAACTTGATGATAATTACCATGAAAAATTGGGGTGATCAGATTTATGCAATAGATAGTTTAGTGGTCACATGTGCAAAATTAATCAAAATTTTAAGACGAATAACATATAAGGTAACGTGGCAAAAATAATTTAAATTGCAACCATCAAATAATCTAAATATGAATAAAAATTACAAAATTAAGTAATAGATATTAAAGAAATATTTATAATCCAACCACTTAAGTTTTTGAATTAAAGTGGTATTAAATTTTTATGTGAATCGGACACTCTCCCTCGCAAATCCTTCGGTAAATATCGAACATAAATAATATTTCATTTGACCTAAGCAAAACAAAACTTCATACGGATTTTTTTTTTATTGAAACCTAACTTTTATTTTTACTAATTTTTAATATAACTATATCGAAATAATTTTTCATTTTTAACAAAAATAATTGAATTAAGGTATTACATATAACTTTTGTCATTTCTCTTATTCCACCTTGCTTTGTCCTCTATATTTTGATTTCTAAGTTTATGTAGAAAAAATAATAATACTGAATTAGTCAAAGCGAAATTTTTTTGGGTCAAGTCAGGTTTTTTGGATCGTTTTAGTCCATTCATGAAACAGATAATTATAATGTTTCTATTTTTTATTCAACAAATACTCATGAACATCCAAAGTACTAATATAGACTTAAAGAGATAAAAAAACGGAAAAAAAATATAAAAATATGATGTGATAAGAAAAAAATTAATTAAATATTTAATAAGTACATATTTAGATGAGATGTATTTGTATCATTATTTATTTATTTTTGGTTGATTTTTAGTCATATTAATTAAATTTTGTTTTATAATACTGTTTTTATTTTTAAAATGTAAAACTTGTTAGTCGAAATTTGAGTGGTATAATCATATTAGTGTTCTGTTTTTAAAATATATTAAATATAAAGTAACTTTTTACGATTTTAACATATTTTGTCTCATTTCTTAATTTTTTTTTCATAAATTGTTAAATATTGAAAGTGTCTAATTAAGAAAGTGTGAGACTCTCAATAGTATTTTAAATTTCACATATATTTTTATATTTAAGTTTTTGTTTTTAATAAATATAGTTAATAAAATAATTTAAAGAGTAAATATAGTCTTGAACATCAAATCTCACCTTTAATCTCTCGTGTCATGTGGCATCTTTTTTCATGTAACATGTGTATGTAAAAATGTAAAATAATACAATCTTTCATTTCGACTATTTTAGGTGACATGAAATCTTATCGTATATCTTAAATTTTAGAGAAATTTCTTATTCCAACATATATTGAATTTGATACTATTTTAAAAATAGAGAAAATTTTAATTTAACCTTACAAAATAATTCAATAAAATAGGACTTGTCCTCCCTCATATATGCTATATATCTAATCGAATGAGATTTCTTTCCAAACTCAAACTTTACGAAAGTATTTCCTTCACACTTCCTCGTCTCAAACAAATTTTTTACATTACAATCTCTTATAGAATATTTTTAACACTATTATCAGTTCAAGAGGTAAAATTCAATAGCATGGTTAAAAAAATTCTTCAAGGAGAAAATTCTAACTTAACTATGTAACTGTGGATGAATAATAAGACAAGTAAACAAAGGAAAGGTCGTCTTTCTTGTGGTCGAAGAGAAGAATGAGATAAGCTTAGGAAATGAAGGTTAAAACAGTGAGTAGCATGTGATGCATGCTTTACCATTAGCAACACATTGGAAGTAAAAGCACACTCCATGTTAATTTATAATTCCTAAGTCTGTGTGCGTTTCTGTTTTCTATTGGTAAGTCGTCATCTCCACCCACATAAAATTGACAGGTAAAATATATATATATATATATCAGTTGAAGTTGGTGATGCTGTCATCATCCTTTCCATAGTTGTGTTACATGTTTCATCATATCATTCAAAAATGCATCGGTGATGTTGCATGACACATATGCCTACATTTTCCTTTTTTAGTGGTAGGCTCTTTGCCTCACTTTTTTTCTGAAAACCAATGAATGCAAAAGCAAAATGCATGGATCGGTGGACGTAAAACATTAGCTGCATTAGCAAAAGCATAGATATAATTAAGATTTTACATGGTGGTCAGAGTTGTACAAGTTTTATTGTAATGTTTGATATTATAAAAAACTACAAATAAATATGACTGATGTAACCGTAATTATAATTTCAGAAGGTTTAAAATAAGACTGATCTTTAAGGTGGTGTCTGAAATTGTAAATGTGGACATTTCTTAAAGATTTGAATGTATATAATCAATATATGTCCATTACATCATTATAATTTTGTTGGTTGTGTACAAATGTAGTTGTCACTTTCTTAGCTTAAAACTGAGGAGGGGCAAAGCATATCAGGGAATGATCATGGTGTTCCCAAAAAATAAGACCAATTAGGCAGGACAGGACCGATTCTGAAACCCCATTGGCTGGGATTAGAAAAGCAAGAAAGTTGAAAAGCTAAGAAACGATGATAATTTTAGAGCAAGACAAGACAATCGACCAAGTCAAAGATGAGCTAAGATTACGTTGTGTATGTATTAGACTAATACCCAATGACAAATACAGACAGATAAATAGCATTCATTTATATATGACAACACTGTTCAACTCATTTCTCCGATCTTACAACACAAATAAAGTATTTTCTTCTCTTCTCTCTCACTCTCTCTCTCTCACTATCCCTTTCTCCCACTCCCTTTTCCTTTATTTGACTACACTGAACAGCTCCCTCAAAGAGTGGAACCAGGTAGAGATAAAAGGATGATAGAGCAATAAATAGTGTTTTGAGCAACGGATTTTGGATTAGTTGTTTGTTGTTATTGTTTGTGACTGACTCAGGAGGTGGCAATGCAATAGGGCTCCCAGAACAGAAACGACCTTCTAGAATCCTTGCAACTCTTCAAATTGTGAACCAAGTAATCACCATTCTTCCCTCTTAGAACCAGCAACTGTTGTTGCTCCCCTGAGACCACCTTGTTCGTGTCCCCTGAGACAACAACCTTGCTCTTCATGTTCTCTTGGTCATTGTGATGATGTTTTTTGTTTTGCTCTAGTGGGTTAAGGTTAACACTGGTACCTTTTGATGTGGCAGAGTTTGTCCTCCAATAGTACTCATAAGCGTTGAAATTGAAAGAAGCTGCAGCTGCAGCCACAACTGGTGTTGATGGAATCAACCTTGCCACTCTTGGCCTTGGAGGCAGTGACTGTGCCACATTAACATCATTAAAATTGGTCATCTCATCGAACTTCTTCGACCACTTTGGATTCCTATTCACTACCCCAATTGGCTTATTCTTATTATTCATCATCAAGGCCAACCCATGACCACTACTTGTCACCCCACTGGACAACAAGGGTCCTTGCTCCATCACACTCTCATATTCCATGAAGCCAGAATTGACTCCAGTGGAAGATACTTGTTGTTTCGTACCAAAAGAGTATTCTTCTTCCTCGTCTTCTTCATCTTCCTCAAACTTCAACCCTCCCAAGTATTCTTGTTCCACAAAATCATCATACTCTTCTTCTTCTTCTTCTTCCTCCTCCACCTCCTCTTGGTGATTGGAAAAAGAGAGGACAAGGCGACCACCTTGGCGCTGAATGCTGAAATTGTTATGAGAAGGGAAAGAAACAGCTTCTAGAACCAACCTTCCATTGTCACGGTGTGAACGCATGTGAAGTGAAGGACCAGCTTGTTGATGAGAGAGTGAAGGGAGTGGTGGAGGGAAAGCACGTGTTGATGATGAAACCTTCTTTGTAGACACCACCGAAGCATAATTGTTCAACTCTTCTTCTTTTTCTTCTTCTTGGTGTGTTGGTTCTACAACTTTCTCTTCTTCCTCTGTATCCCCTGTCTCAGAAGAAGAGTAAGAAGAGAACAACAACCCATCAGAGCCAGTCTCGGATCCGAGACTCTCAGTGCAGATTTCGAGGCTCTTCTCACTCAAACAACTCTTGGACCTTTTCACAAGAGGGTGAACATAAGGTGAAACAGGAAGAGATTTCGAGATTTCATCTTTTCCTTTCAGGGATATGATTGAGCTCCACGTATCGAACGGCCCTGATTTCTCTTGCTCCTCCTTCTTGTTCCGTTGGATGGAACTCCAAATCTCAAGCCTCTCTCTTTCAGCTTCATCATCAAGCTCCTTGTTGCTGCTCTCATCATCTTCAGAGTCACCAATGGTTTTGGCATGCACGAGTTCTTCGGAAGGAGCAATGGTTTGAGAGAGCCAGTTCTTTGAGGACATGTCTGCCGAGAGAGCTCTTCGCAGAGAAGAAGCAGAAGAAACCGTGTTTGTGCTTGTGTTTGAGACCAAAATGGTGATGATGCCCTGCTTCTGCATCACGGTCTCTTCTTCTATCCTCGCAGAGGAAGGAGAAGAAGAAGATAATAGGCTTTGGCTTTGAACCTTGTTGTTGGTCATGGCAATAGAAGGTGCTGCTGACATGTCCAATGGAAAGTGTTTCTCACTTAGCTAGCTGCACACAAAAAAGTGACAAGAATTTAGAAAAAAAACGCCAAGTAACAACAACAACACTCTCTTATAAAAGTGTACGTGATGATAACTATAAAGTATTGAAGTGAGTCACTGAGTGTTTAAAAACAACAGAGTTTTCAAGTTTCAAAGTGGAGTCAGATAGGTAACATGCATGAAGTTTTGGAAAACGCACACTATAAATGACGAGTGGGGAAAATACATGCACAAAACTTAGATACATTTTTCTAATTTTGTTATGAGAATTGAAGTATTATCTTAATTCTGACTAGAAAAGACAACAGAAAAGGACTAAAAAACTTGTGCATATAAATATTGTACAAGAGTGAAATGAAATGAATTGAATTGAGAAAATTTACCTAGAAGCAAGCAAGCAACAGCATCCAACAGAGGTCTCTAAGGAGAGACCACCGTGAGTGCAAGTTGCAAGGATGAAGAGGACGAGGGTTGAGACTGAGTTTGCAGTGATGGTTGAACGGAATGAAATGGTTTGGTTTGTGGTTGCTGATGGGAATGGAGGGAGGGGGGGAACGAGGGTATTTGTAGGTGGCCAAAAGCTTTAGGAACCGTGTTCAGTGGACCCTACCTACGCACCAGGAAAAGACCCCTTTATCATTTCCATTTTATTTTTCTTTCCCTTTTTCCATTTTTATTATGGACACAGCTCCGCGATGGATTCCAGAAAATGATAATGTACCTATTTATTTTAGATAATTTCAAGATATAAATTCATGCATGTTGTCACGGTTTATGAATACGTTGCACTTTAACATATCAGTATAGATCATCCCAAAATCCCAGAAAATAACTATCAACACATTTTTTAAATCTATCAAATTCATTCTAAATTTTTAAATTAGAAGAAAAACTTTTTAAATAAGACATCATTCTTAAATACCCCCAACTTTTATAAGGACTTTTCCACATAATTGATATTATCCTATATTGTAAACTAAATAACTTATATTTTATATTGTGATCTATTAATAAATGACCGTATATATTGAGTAATAACTTATAGGAACTACTCTGAAAAGTCATATTAACAATATTTTTTAAGTAGTTTAAGTTAAATTTGCACACTAATAACAACATCACCATTAATTTCTCTCTCTATATAAAATTTGTTAATAGTGACAACTTCATGGCTTTGTATAGAAAAAGGGGTGTAAACATAAAAACAAAAAACTAACAATCACTTTTACATGAGACAAACAAGTTAGAAACGAGTTTCGTAAAACAAAATTCTTCATCATTTTTTTGGTGACAATAGAATAATCTAGGTGTTAACATTAAATGTTTAACAACAGTGGTAATTGATAAATACTCCTAAATAATATATATGAAAAAAGAAGAAGTACTATGTATAAAATTAAGGAAATATAGTATGTTAGAATATATAAAAAAATAACCATCAACAATTTTATTTATTAATATAATATGTTTATTATTATATTATTATTAAATAAAAGACATAAAATGGATGTTTAAAAATTTAGGGTTATTTTCTTATCCTTGCTTCTAAAATTAATATAACTCAATTTGAACGATGACGAGAAATTGAGAACATCTATTCCCAACCATGTATATATGGATCATAGTTTAAATAAAATAGGAAGTTTTTTGGGAAGATAAACAGGAACAGTGTTTGGATATTAAGCACACTGTGATCTGTCACGCAATATCTGTTGTGTGACGTTCACTTGGAATCTGAATTGAATTACATTTGTGAACAAACAAAAATGGATGACGATGATGAACAGTAAAAAATTGTTAATCAAATTATGTTGTTTTGTTATATACCATATTAATGTAAAATATGAATGTGTCAATTTTAATAAGATTACATAAAATTTCGCAGGAAAGATCCACTAACAACCGTAATGATATTATTAATTTGCTCAAAAGTAAATCAAGTGAAATTTTTGGTGTCCTTTTTATTTAACTCTTTTTTTTTTTCTTATTGTGTGAAAATTTAAATTTATAATTCTATAATCTGTTGTAGATACCTTTCAAACATTTAAGGTTATTATGCTACACTTCAAAGAGGGAATTATGAAAAAACATATAGAAGCAAACCATGTTAATATAGTTAACAATAATTGCTAGTTAAACTACACAATTTGAAACATGAGTGTGAAAATTAAGGTAATTAGCACCATAAGTAGACACTGTCATACATAGATATTGAATAATATTATACATTTGATCATGTTAAGTTGAACATGTATTAGTTGATAGTCCCTGCACATTTCCTGCTTCAGTAATCTAAAGCACTTCCCTTAGATTAACAAAAGAATCAATGAAATGTCCATAAACGTAAAAAGGTTATATTATTTTTAGGTTAAACTGTATATTTAATTAAACTGTTAGGGAAACAAATTAAACAGAATTTTCAAAGAAAAAAAAAAAACATCTTCCTCTCCCACATAAACAAAAGCAAAATTTTACAGAAAAGAAGGAAAGGAACATAGAAGTGATATATTGGTAGGGGAAATGGCAATAAGAGCAAGACAAGAAAAGTGAGGTAATTAATTAAGTTCCATAATAATCTTACTGAATGGAGAAAAACACAGTTTGATGCACCATGCTAATGGTACCAATTAGGTAAGACAGAAAGTGGGATTTTCTTTGAGTGAAATTGGCTTAAGAAGGAAGCAAAGGAATCACCTTTGTGGGAGGACAACATGATTGGCTACTAGAAATCCACAACACAACTCCATCATCCCACATAGCCCAACACCATTTAAAAGTATACATATATAAACAAATATTATGAATTTAAAAATGAGAATAGTTTAATCGCAAGGAATAATGTATGTGGAAACAAATGAACGCGCGTCACGTCTTGATTTTGAGGGACCCCTTTTGGATACAAACCTTCTCTCCCTCTCCATCTTTGATCCTACACTCTAGTTTTTGCATTTGTGCCTGTTTAAAGTCATGGGGTTTGTTTCTACAAAGGCCAATAAACAAATATATTTATACATGCATAAAAGGTGATGATGTTGATCAATTCAATTCAAACAAGAGTATATATATACAGAGAGAGAGACACAGAGAGAGAGAGAGAGAGAGAGAGAGAGAGTGTGTGCATGAAATACGAAATATGTACATTAATGAATGAAAATACATAATAGAGCAATTGAAAGGCAAGTAGTATCCTTTGCCACGAACTGAGGAACGCAAAGATGGTAAGTAGATGCCCTTTGTCTGCCTATAGACTATAAAGCTAAGCCACTCAACCTTCAAAAGCTTATCTACTACGTTCAACGCAATACTATACCCTCTCAAATTTTTTATTCATTTCTTCAAATTTTTTCTTTTCAATTTTAACCCAAAGAAAAAGGTCGTCGAGGGCAAATGCCAAGCCAGATGCCACTCCAAGATATTTACATGGCAACTGGCAAGCACCACGGACCAAGCATAGAGCTTCATGTCGTGGTTTTTTGTTTTGTTTTTTGGTCCAAACAAATCCAACAACGTTCAAGGTTAATTAGTGAGAGCACCTTTATACAAATTCTCGTGGCTCGTAACACGCAAGGTAAACTTGCTTTTGTGTTTTAACTTTTCATTTGAGTGGTTTGTGATGTTACTTATGCTAGCTTGGGTTCCTTATACACTATCTAAATGCAATTTGGAGTGATGCATGCATGCATGTATGGGATTTTTTTTCTTTTTCTTTTTGTTTCTCGTGATCAACTATAATTAACTGCCTTTGCACCCCTAATGATTATAGTGGCCTAACTCTATGTGACCTTCCCGAAGCAAAAAGGGAAGGGTGATCCTAAAAATAGATAGATAGAGATAGTTGGGTACCAAATTCGGACGAGCATGGCCTTAGCACATTTGCCTTTACAACATCAAAATTTCCTTTTAAATGCTTATCACTTATTTATCCTTTTAATAAACAAAATAAAAGAGGAATCACATTCCAATTATTTGGGGTGTGAAAAGGATAAATTACTCCCAAATGGTTCACTCGGTAACGTTCATGATAAGCACATACACGTTTTTCACATAACACATATATTCTTCACTGGAACAAGTTTATCTAATTAGCAATGGTTTAAAATTATTTTAATTGTTAAGATGTTATACTATAATACTATAATTAATAAAACATTCAAATATTTTCTTACAAGACATGTAACTCCTTTCTTTGAGTAATAACATTTAAGTTCAATGAGGTTTGGTCAATTCTGTATAAGTTTGTAATGTTTTGTTCATTTTTCTTATTGTCAATTTTGTTCTATCTTATTTGTTTTACATCTATCGCTATGTGTTTTAATTTAGTTTATTATAGATTAATTTCACATAATTAAAATATACTGTGATTAATATTAGGTTTAAAATCATATAACATATATTAAATTTGTGTAAATCTTTTTAATGCAACAAATTGTTAGAAAATAATCTTTGATGGTCATGATTTAAAAAAATTGGTTTAAAACGTGATGTACGAAAAACATTTTACTGTAATCACTACAAAAAATTTATTAAATATTGACTAATTAAATTAGAGATAAAAAATATTTAAATATTTATATTACTAAATTAAATATAATTTTAAATTAAAATATAAATTGGTCTATATTAAAATTTTAGTTATTTATTAAAATTAAACTCTAAATTAGTTTTAAATTGAATTAATAGCTAATTTTATCATTTTTAGAAATTAATATTTAATTTATAAACATATTACAGGAACTTGAATGGTTAACATAAAAGAAGTCAAACTCACAACAATAGTTATTCTTGTGAAAACATCACTGTTGATGATTATATTAAATGTCCTTTAAAAAGTTCATTTCTACGACATTTAAAGCTTATTTGTCTGTTTTTTATATAATTTTTAAAAATTAAAAAAATTGTTTGAAAATTGCTTTATTATTTTTTTTAATTTCTAAAATGGAAAAATTTAAATTGATTAATATATATATATATATATA